GTGTTTAGGTGTGTAAGATAGATGACCATACTACTAAGTTTTTGTTGGATCATTCAACAGAACTGTTTGCAGTCTCACTGTTTGAATGTCCACTTTGTATGCTTAATTTTGTAACTTGAACAACTATTTCTAAGATGACAATATGTAATCTATTAACTAGTGATTTCTTACTGTTTATTTTTTTTTAAGTTCTGTATTACTTGTACCTTTTTACTGTTTGGTTTTGTTTTCTTTTTTTTTTTTTTTTTTTTTTTTGTGTGTGTGTGTGTGTGTGTGTGTGTGGTTTTCATTTTTATCGGTACCAGGGATCGAAGGTTTTGTTTTCTTTAAATAATTTTTTTTAATTTTAAAGAGAAATAATTAATGAAAACTTCCCAAGCATAGGAAAAGGAAGTGATATTCTGATATATAAGGCATACAGAACTCCAGCCACCTACAACAAAAACAGAGCTACACCCAGGCATATAATAATAAAGATCCCAGAAATTCAATATAAGAACAGAATATTAAAAGCTGTTAGAGACAAGGATCAGATAACCTGTAAAGGAAGGCCTATCAGAATAATGGCAGACCTCTGGACACAAACCATCAAGTCAAGAAGAGCTTGGAGCAAAATATTCCAATCCCTGAAAGAAAATAACCTCCAACCCAGATTGATATAGCCTGCTAAGCTGTCTGTACAAATTAATACAGAAACAAGATGCTTCCAAGACAAAGAGGAATTTGGGAAATTCGCAATCACCAATCCAACTCTACAGAGAATGCTTCAGGGCAGTTTACAGAGAGAAAAAAGTACTAGTATTCCAGGAACAGTGGCAGAGAAGCCTCAATGAATGGAGCAGAAAACCGAATGAAGAAGATAAGCAGACAACTGATGGCAAAAAAGAGAGCATAACAGAAATGACTCTACAATGCTTTCATCCACTTGAATGGTGTTACACAGTCTTGATATGTTTGATGCTATAGCATATGAAGTTATATTCAAATATTTCAAAGAAAAAGACACTACGGTAACTACTATTAAGTTGGGTTATTTGGTGGTGAAGCACTAGGTTGCTGAAAGTGTCATGCTTTAACCTATATTGTTATGTTGTTATGCCCCCTTTTATCTCATCCTCTCCCTTAATCATTAAAAAATTATTTAATTTTTTTAAAAAATAATATCAACCAATAAAAAATGCTGCTGGGTCTGTACGGAAAAAGAAACCTTTTACAACTGTTGGTTAGAGAGTAGACTAGTACAAACCCTGTGGAAATCAGTGTGGAAATTCCTCAAAAAATTAGGAGTAAGAGGTCCCATTCAACCCAGGTATTCCCCTTCTGTGTATCTTCCCAGAAGGACTGAAAAACATCACACCACAGTGACATATGTGCAACCATAGGTTCAAAATATACAATAGTCACTGTGAAATGGGAGGAAACTGTTCAATAAAAAGAAGAAACTAAGATAGGGGAAAAGAGAAAGGATAGAAGGAAAAGAAAAAAATGCAAGTTAGTTATACCATTAGTGTCACTTAGTTCACTGAATAGGAAAGGTTGTGCTAATATTGATTGAAGAAATTTTTATGCCCATATTTTGTACTTGAGTGATTAAAGATAATGATGTGTAATTTACCAACAATTGTTACTTTTTTATTATTTTGTTGTGAAAATGTGTTTTACCTTTTCTTCTTACTATTAACAAAGTAAAAAAAAAGAAATGAGGCAGCGAAAGTTGCTTATAATCTGTAATATAGATGGCCTTAAAACACTAGATTTAAAAAAAAAAGAACCACATGTGGAGTAGATCATGAGGCAGGGTCCACTGAGATGCTATTTATAGGAAATAAAATTAACATAAAAAGAGCACATGGACTGAAAATCAAATATGAGAAAACAATGCTCTATGTGACAGAAAACCAGAGAATAATAGGGGCAGCTAAACCAGTATTTGTGGATAGGCTGGAAAGACAGGTTTTATAGGTAAAGAAATACAATTAGAGATCAAGTCCAGGAGAGAGAAGGTTTGGAACCACTAAGGTAAATAGCAGGTTGCCCCCTCCCAATTTAAAACCAAGGGTCTTGGTCAGACCCAAAATTGCAGTGTACCCTGGGGAAGTGAAAGGGGAGGGAGAGACTTAAAAAAGATGGCAGAAGATATTGTTAATAGTGTATCAGGATTTAAAACCCACATTACTCCCACCACTCTGCTTAGGTAGATTTTATTCTTTTTTGATAGATTTTATTCTGTCCCTATTGTCTACTTGCATTAAATTTGAGGGCACAGACAGCCATCCCAAAAACATCAGGATATAGCACAATAATCATCTTTAATTTCCTATTATCTTAATCTAGAGCCCTGTATGACTTATACTGTTTTATCATGACTGATCTTAGTTAAATTTGGTTTGTTTGATTGCTGTTTGGTATCGACAGATTTTATTCAAAACTGATATGATTGATAGTATCATCATAGTATCAAGTCTGAGAGTATAGGCAACTACACTGAAGATGATAAGACTCACTAGATACACATTTTGGTTTGATTACTGCCTGCTTTTGAAATTTTATACTATATACAAAGTTGTGTAATACTGTTATGTACTGATATATTCAATTATACTATGTCTAATGACTTAGCCAACTGTATTGAAGATAACAAGAGACAACACAGGAACTATGGTAGAACTTCTTGTACAATGGTCTTATATGTCTTTTTCATTTCATGTGTTTATAGATATATGTTTTGTTTTGTCTTGCTTTGTTTTATTTCTCCCTCTAATATAAAAGGATAGAAATCCATGTTAAGACTCATGAATGTGTAGAATATATAAACAGTTTTTGAGAACTGATCTTATGACACATGATGAAATGAACAGATACTTTGAAAAAAGAGAGACACTAAAGTACCCAGTGCTGATCATGGAGGGTCATAATGTGAAACCCAGAAATAGTATTATTCTTTGTTCAGAATGATATTAGACTGCTTGAGTTTGTTCAATCTCAACATAATTGAAGATATGGATAACTGAATGTATATTTAAGTGTATAGGATTGATAACTATATTTGTAAGTTTTTGTTGGATAGTTAAACAGAATTGGTTGCAGTCTCAGTGTTTGAATTGCCACTTTATATGCTCCACTGTAGTATCTTGAATATCTATTTGTCAGAGGACAATCTGTAATCAACTAGTGATTTCTTACTGTTTATTTTTTTCTTTGAAAGTATATATTATTTCTACCCATTTTCTGTTTTGTTTAGTCCTTCTTTAAAGAAAATTAAAGAAAAAAAAGAAAGAACTTTGTCTCCAGTATAGTGAAAAGAAAACCCACAACCTGGGAAAAATCATAGTGAACTGTCCCCCAGACAAAGGACTTCTATCTAAAACATATAAAGAATTTTCTTAAAAAATCAAACCCCAGAAATTCAAAGACCCAATCCAAAAATGGGCATGTGAAATGAAATCACAGTTCTCAGATGAAGAAATACAAATGGCAAATAAATACATGAAAAAAATGTTCAGAATCATTGGTTATTAGAGAAATGCAAATTAAAACCACAATGAGAGTCCATCACATTCCAGAAAGAATGGTCTAGATCAACAAAACTGCCAACAACAAATGCTGGAAAGGCTGTGGGGAAAAAGGAACGCTCCTACACTGTTGGTGGGCATGTAACTGGTGCAACCATTGTGCAAGTCAGTCGGGAGATTCCTCAAAAAGTTGGGATTGGAGGTCCCATTTTACCCAGCTATTCTACTTCTAGGTGTATTCCCAGAATAACTGAAACATCATACCACAGTGATACGTGTGCACCCATGTTTATAGTAGCACAATCTGTAATAGCCAGATCTTGGAAACAACCTAAAAGTCCATCAACTGAGGAATGGATAAAAAACGATGTGGTATTTTTATACAGTGGAGTACTACTCTTCTATAAAGAATGATCACATTGAGATATTTATAAATAAATGGACACAACTTGAGATCATACTCATAAGTGAAATGAATCAAACTCACCTGTATAAATACTGCATAGTCTCCCTAGTATAAAAAATGGTAAAGGTACATAATATTTTATGGTAATCATGATTCCACATTACATTTCTTTAAGCTTTGTAATGTTTTCATTCATTAGTTGTAATGGTTTCATGCTGTTTTGTTTGATTTTATTATGTGTGATGATACGAATAGCTACTTTGAAGAAGATAAGACATTATGATAGCCATTGCTGATTTAATATCATCTTGCTTTGAAGTTCTACCATGCTTTTGTTCTTCTGTTTCCATTGGTTCCATCATGTTGTATCTTATTTGATTTTAATATGTGTGATGGTATAAATAAACTGTTTATGGAAAATGAGTTAGTATAGTAGCCATTGTTCATTTTTGGTTATTTAGTTCTGAATTCCCCGTAATACTTTCATTCTCTTCAATGGTTTTATACTACTTTATTATGTTTGATACTATTGTATTGGAAGGCTGTATATGCACACAGCAAAATACATATGAAGAACTTGGGATATAAATAGTCTGAGTGACTTGGCCAAGTTCATCGAGTTCATCAAGGGCAGAGCTAGGAAGAGAATGGACTCAGGAATTTCACTGTCCTCTCTCTCAACATCCTAGAATCATAATCATAAGCAACTTTTCAACTTAACTTCAGGAGTAATATGATTTGAAAAACAAATCTCCTAGTATCTTTTTGGACAGGCTCTCATTATATAGTTCAGACTCGCTTTGAGCTCACTATCTGGCCCATCGTGCTCCTGTTCCAGTCACTTTAGTACTGGGATTACAGGCATAGATCACCATTCCTGGATGAATCCTTTGCTGTTATTATATAAGATGAAATAAATATGTAAGTGGAAGAAAGAAATGTGAGGTAAGGTAATGGGGTGTGTGAGTATGATAAAATAGCTTTACATGTGTGTGTGAAAATGCCACATTAGAAACTAGTATGTCATAAATATGTGCTAATAAAAATACTATTTAAACTCCTGCTTGATATTGCCTAAAGTATTTTCAGTAAGAAAGGTCTTTATTAGAGCAGAGATGAAAAGCACAGCATACAAACAAATTATGAAATAGATGAAAACATGAACAAGAGATACATGAATAGAAACCAAAAAGAAGCACATTACAGGAATAAGACAGAGTTGTCTGAAGGAATAAAGACTGTTAAAATCTGACAATGTAGCTGGCTAATATCTGTATTATAGTTTATGTTTCGATGGCCACCCCAAGCCTCATGCAGTCATGGAGATGGCTGAATCTAGCATTTGTGATTGGTTTGTGGTATAGTGCTGGGATTGGCAGGGTGAGTAATGCATCTGCTGAGGAGTGGATAGCCAGCATACTACATAAGAGAAGGAAGCAGGCATGCTTTGCTCTTTTGCCTTTTGCGCTTGTCACTTGTAGCTACCATGATGTCTGCCCTTCAGCCACACCATTCCTGCCTTGGAGCTAGCTGAGTATAGACTGAAACCTCCAAAAACTCTAAGCTAAATAAACCTTTCCTTTCTTCATTTTGGGTATCAAGTACTTTGTCTCAGCAATGAGCGAAAAGTAATCAAGATAACCTGAAACTTCTCCATTTTGTCCAACATTTAAATCCATGTAGCAGGGGATTTGGGGGAAGATGGCAGATCAAAAGCAGCAAAGTAAAAAGCCTTTCTGAGAGAAACAGCACAGATGTTGGAATATAGCATCCTGGAGAAGACCAGACAGAAGGAGATAGATTCTCTCAACCAGGAAGAAACTAAGTAGAAAAAAGAAAGAAAAGAAAAGAAAAATGTGGACAGAAGGCTGTAACCAGATGCACTCTCACCAGAGCCAGTCTCACTATCTGTGAAACACCACTGGAATCTGAACACTCACAGTCATGGTGAAGTTGGGAGTTGGCAAACCCAAGGGCCTCAGTGTGAGGACGTGGTCACAGGGGATGTGGCAGACCAGAGAAGTGCACCAGTTTGCAGTGAGTGTGGAGAACTCAGTCCTCCCACAGGAGTGGGCAATTGGCCAGACAACATTTTGGAGTTGGGCAGAATAAGCCTGGAACCAGAACTGCAGCCAGCTTCAGTCAACCACTCTTAGCACAGAGCACATTGGTGAGAATTGCTTGGACTGAGTCCTACCCCTGTGCTCAATCCAGTAGCTAAGACCAAGATTTCCCTGATGCTATCCTCAACCAGTCCTGACTGCACAGCATACACTAATGTGGTGAAGACTCGCAGGGTTTGACCAGCTCAGAAGGGAGGAACCAGCCTACCCTACCCTGCTTGTGCTCCAGCAATCACCAGCAGACTGGGGAGGCAGCAATCCCTAGCCAGCATGCTACAGAGAAAATATAAGTGCCAGGGTCCCCCACTATACACTTGTCTGAAAGAAACCAGAAACATGACAAGAGGAAGAAACAAAAGGAAGTCTCTAGCCTCCAATCCAAACAGTATGTTCCAGGAGAGGTAAATACATAAGAGATTGGGGGTTTCACACCTGCAGTTTCTGAAGAAACATCATCTGACATAAAGAAATATCTTCATGAAATTATAAAAGAACTTACAACAGAAGTACTAATACAAGTAAAAGAAGATATAAGAAAAATAATAAAACAAATGATAAGCACCTCTCAAGAAGACACAGATGGAAGAATGGAGGAGCATAGAAAAAGGAGGGAAACCTTCAATGAAGAATATTTTACAAATCTAGAATACATGAAACAGATTAAAAGAGATTACCAGGAAATTAGAAACTTCATTGAAAGCTGGCAAAACTGCTTGAAAGAAACTAAAGAGAGACTATAAAACCTTGAATACAGGTTTGCAACTTGTGATCACAAAAGGAAAGATCTCCTTAAAAAGAACAAGGAACCAGGAAGTAACCATACAAAGGCTAGAACATGACAAGAAGGTCCATAACTTAAGAATAAAAGACTTCTGGGAGGACATGGTGGACAGATAACAGCAGCTATGGAGGCTCTCTGAGAAAGCCAGCTTAAAATACAGGAATGGTGTGGTGTGAGGAGTCCTAAGCAGGGGGACATATACCCTACCGACCTAGGAACAAACTAAGCTGAGAGAAACCAACTGGAAATGGAATCCTGATGCTATAACAGGAACAGATAAAATCTCAGTGCTGAAGCTGGAACCTGCACTTCTGGAAGCCATGATTTGAATTTCCTGCTGCCACTGCTGCATCCCAATTGGCACAGCAGGGAAAGAGGGCACACACAAAAGCTCTGAGAGCGGGAATCGGTGAACCAAACAGAGTTGAGAGTGGGACTGGCAGGGATCCCTGCATCAACCTGCAGTGAGTGAGAGGAACAGGGACCCTTTCATAGACTAGGGGACTCCAACAGAGGACATTCTGGGACTGGGAAGATTAGCCAGAACAGTATGCTGTAGTGACTTTAGTCGCATATTCCCCTCTCAAGTGAGATTGGTGAGGAGCGCTTGGCCTGGGTGATGCTGTGGACTAAGACCCAGTAGGCTAGCCCAAACCAGGTCCCAGCACCTGGTGGTGCATCCTAGCAGTGAAGCCTTCAGTAGGTAGACCTGGAAGGGTGGGCCCAGCAGAGACTGCCCAGGTCTGTGTCTCCCTAGTACACTGCAGTGGGCAGGAACACCTAGCCAGTGGATTCAAACAAACTGTAACTGACAAAGAAAAAAACTGGGCCTCCTATATATGCTTATATAGAAAGAACAAAAAGTATGGGAAGAGGGAGCAATAAGAAAGGTCCTCAGTCCCCAATCCTGAGAACACTGATCCAGGAAAGGTAAATACAAAGGAGAATGAAGACAGAAAACAAGCAATATCAGACACGGCACCAATAGACATAAAGCGATATCTCCAGAGCTTCATACACGAGTTCAAAAATGAAGTATTTAATGAAACAAAGCAAGAAATAAGTAGAATAGTTAGAGAAATACTAAACACCACCCAAGAAAAAAACAGATGGTGAAATGGAAGAACAGAAAAAAATGAGAGAATTGTTTGATGGAGAAAATAGAGAAAACAGAATACATGAAGCAGGTTCAAAGAGATTATCAGGAAACTAAAAACTCTATTGAAAGCTGGCATAACAGCTTGAAATAAACTAAGGATAGATTATCTGAACTGGAGGACAGATTTGTAAGGTGGGAGCATGAAATGAAAAATTTCTTAAAAATAACAAGGAAACAAACAGCAATAATACAAAGGCTAGAAGATGATAAGAGGATCCTATAACTTAAGAATTAAGAACATAAAAGAAGAAGTAGGGATACAAACAAATGAACTACAAAAGCTATTCACAGAAATAATCCAGGAGAATTTCCTTAATTTAGCAAAAGGTAAAGATACTCAGATGTATGAGGCATACAGGACCCCAGCCACCCAAACAGAGCTACACCCAGGCATATAATAATCAAAATTCCAGAAATTCAATATAAGAACAGAATATTAAAAGCTGTCAGAGACAAGAAACAGATCACTTACAAGGGAACACCCATCAGGAATTACAGCAGACTTCTCGGCACAAACCATCAAATCACAAAGAGTGTGGGGAGAAATAATTCAAGCTTTGAAAGATAATAACCTCCAGCCAAGGTTGATATATCCTGCACAACTGTCCCTAGAAATTGATGGAAAAACAAGGTGCTTCCAGGATAAAGAGGAACTAGGGGAATTTGCAACCACCAATTCAACTCTACAGAGAATACTGCAGGATATTCTAAAAAAGAAAAATACTAAGATTCCAGAAACAGTGGCAGAGAGGCCACAATGAATGGAACAGAAAGTGAAATGAAGAAGACAAACTGATAACTAATGACAGAAAAAGAGCACAACAGAAATGAGGCAGATGAGGTTAGATGGTAGGAACAGCTATTTTAGAGAAAACAAGACATCATAATAGCTAGTGCTGACTTAATATCATCTTGTTTTGAAGTCCCATCAAGATTTTGTTCTTCTGTCTCCATCGGTCTTAACATGTTGTATCTATTGGATTTTATTATATGTGACAATATAAACAAAAACTTTTATAGATAAGGAGATTATACAGAAAGCATTGTTCATTTTCTGTTAGTTGATTCTAAAATACCCTGTAGTACTGTCATTCTCTTGAATGTTTTGACATTGTCTTGATATGTTTGATGCTACAGTATATCAAGTTATACTCAAAGATTTTAAGGGAAGAGACACTATGGTAACTACTTTTATGTTGGGATTATCTTGTGGTGAAACACTATTTTGCTTAAATGGTTATGTTTTGACCTGTGCTGTTTTGTTGTTATGTCCTCTTTTATCTCAATCTCCTTTTTTTATTATTTACTTTTTCATTTTTATCCTTTTAATTAAGGAAAAAATAAATAAAAAATAACAGGATATATTATAGTAACCCACTTTGATTTCCTATTAACTTAATTTAAACCCTGTATTGCTCTCACCATCTTGTTTTGACTGATTTTCCTCTATTCTGTTTTGCTTGATAGTACCAAGTTTGAAAGTATAGGCAACAACTATGAAGACAATAAGATTCATTATGACACCCATTCTGGTTGACTACTATCTTCTTTTGAAGCCCTCTAATGTCTCCCATGTTTTGGTTTTATTGATTATGTTCTTTACTGTTTTGTTCAATTTTTTATAACTGATGATATAGGCAATTCTTTTTAAGATAGCAAGAGGCATTATGGTAACCATCATTGATCACCTTGTATTTTGTTTTTACATTATGTATTATGTCCATCCTTTTGATTTGACTGACTCTGTCCTATTATGTCAAATTTGGTTTTACTTTCTTCAAAAAAAAGTAATAAGAACAGTGAGAATAATAAAACCCAAAATGTGTAATTGTCATTGTAAAAAGAGAGGAAAAGAAAGTGCTGTAAAGGACATAAATGCATGTATATTTAAGTGTATAAGATAGGTAACCATATTGCTGAGTTTTATTGGATCACTGAACAGAACTGTTTGCAGTCTCACTGTTTGAATGTCCACTCTATATGCTTTAATTTTGTAACTTGAACAACTATTTCTAAGATGACAATATGTAATCTATTAACTAGTGATTTCCTACTGTTTATTTTTTCTGAAATTCTGTATAACTTGTACCCTTTTCTGTTTTTCTCTTTTTTCTCCTTAAATAAATTTTTTTAAAAATAAAATAAAATAAAAAATAAAGAATAAAAAATGTGAGTGAAGAAGCAGGGGTAAACACAAATGAAATACAAAGGTTATTCACAGAAATAATTAAAGAAAACTTTCCAAGCATAGGAAAAGTAAATGATATTCAGATATATGAGACATACAGAACTCTAGCCAGCTATATCCAAAATAGATCTATACCCAGACATATAATAATCAAGATCCCAGAAATTCAAACAAGAACAGAATATTAAAAGCTGTTAAAGAAACAGATACCCTATAAAGGAAAACCCATCAGAATCAGGACAGACTTCTCAACACAAACCATCAAATCAAGAAGAGCTTAGAGTGAAGTATTCCAAGCCCTGAAAGAAAATAACCTCTAACCCAGATTAATGTACCCTGAAAAACTCTCTCTCAAGATTAAAAGAGAAACGAGATGTTTCCATGACAAAGAGGAACTGGGGAGTTCATGACCACCAATTCAACCCTACAAAAAATATTGAAGGACATTCTGAAGAGAGAGAAAAAGGACCATGGCTTCAGGAATAGCGGCAGAGGGGGCTCACTGAATGGGGCAGACATTGGAATGAAGAGGGAAAAGCAGACAAAAATGGCAGAAAAATAACATGCCACAGATGAGGCAGAGAAGGTTGGCCATAATTGCTAACATGGATAGAGTCGATACACCAATAAAAACAAACACAAGCAGAGTGAATCAGGAGATGGGGTCCATCAAGATGCTCTATATAAGAAATATAATTAACCTGAAAGCAGGTTTATGGGCTGAAAGTCAAAGATGAGAAAATAATGCTCTATATGACAGGGAACAAGGAAAAAGTGGGCATACCTTGCCCTTCAGCTACGAATTGGTTCATAAGACATAATAATTTTATACAGTGGAGAACTACTCAGCTATAAGGAAAAAAATTTGAGGCTCTTGTAAGTAAATGGGTACAACTTAAGATCAAGCTCAGGGTAAAAAGGTTCAGAACCATGTAGGTAAATAGCAGGTTGCCTCTCTAATCTAAAAGCTAAAGGAGTTAGTGGGATACAAAATGTACAACGCACCCTGTGAAAGTGAAAGGGGAGGAACTGTCTAAAGAGGGAAAGCAGAAGACATTGTTAATCTTGTATCATGATTTGAAACCCATATTGTTTTCATCTCTCTCTTTAGTTTGGTTATATTCTGTTCCAGTTTGTCTACTTGTACTGGATTTGATGGCATGGGCAGTTATCCCAAAGATAGCAGAATATACTACGGTAACCATTTTTAATTTCCCATTAACTTAATCTGCATTGCTTTCACTTTCTTGTTTTGACTGATTTTATTTGAATCTGTTTTGTTTGATTACTCTTATCTTGACTGATTTTATTAGAATCTGTTATGTTTGAGAGTATCAAGTCTGAGAGTCTAGGCAATTACTCTAGAGACAATAAGATTCACTATAATCCCTATTCTGGTTTAACTAATATCTTTTTGAAGTCCTATAGTGTCTCCAATGTTTTGTTTTTATTGATTCTATTCTGATTGTGCCTGATAATATGGCCAATTCAATTGAAAATAATAAGATACATCATGGTAACCACTGTAGATCACCTTGCCCTTTGGGTTTAAGTCATGTACTATGTCCATTCTTTTGTTTTGACTAACCCCATTTTGTTTTTTCTCATTTGGTTTTATTCTCTTCAAAGTAAAAATTTAAAAAAGAAAAAATCCTTATGAAAAAAAAACCATGTACCACATCAATTAAAAACTAAAATTTGAGAGTGAAACTTTTACTCAACTGCTACTTATGCTTGTAAACATAGCATATCATTTAACCTTGCCAACCTTCACTCTTCTCATCTTTAAAAGAAGGATCTATCTCAGAAGATTATGTCAAGATTCAAAAATCTAATACTTTAATCTTAGCACTCTGGTCTGAGGCAAGAGGTTGACAAATTTGAAACTGGTCTTGGCAACTTAGCAAATTACTGAGATGTCTCAAAAATTTTTTAAAAAGGCTTGGGTTTGTAGCCAAGTAAAGGCCCTGAGTTCAATTCTCAGTACACACAAAAAAAACATAATATATGTAAATAATCTGACATAATATCTCTAAATTTCCTGTAGAATTCACCAGTGAATCTATCAGGATCTAGACTCTTCTTTGTTGGTAAGTTTTTAATTATACCTTCAATCTCATTAACTGATATTGTGTTATGCACAAGTTTTACATCTTCTTGATTCAACTTTGGCATTTAATGAGTATTTTGGAATCTGTCAATTTCTTCTATATTTTCCATTGGATGAGAGTAAAGCTTTTCAGAGTAGGTATTGATGATCTTCTGAAATTTTTTTGACAGAATTTGTAGTTATTTCACTCTTTTCAATCCTCAATGCATGAATTTGAATCATTTTTCCTTTTTTAAGAGGTTAGCTAAGGGTTTATCAATTTTATTTATTTTTCAAAAAAGCAATTCTTCAATTCATTAATTCTCTGTGTTGTTTTCTTAGGCTCCACTATGTTAATTTTTGCTTTGATCTTTATAACCTCTTCCCTTATGTGGGCTTTGGATTTGTCTTACTCTTCTTTTTGTAGAAGCTTGAGGTACAATATTAGGTCATTTATTTTTGCTTGCTCTGTTTTACTGATGTGAGAATTCACCCCTATTAATTTCTCTCTTAGAATTGCTTTCATTGTGTCCCTTAAGTTACAGTATGTTGTTTCTGCATTCTCATTTAGATGGAAGAAAAAGAGAATAAAAAAGAAGACAAGAAAAAAAAAGCCAGATTATATAAAGATAGAAAAAGACAACCAACTACAAAAATAACCACAAGTACAAAACAAAAAAAGATGACATCCAACCAGATAGGAATGGGATAGCAAATCAGACAGAAAAAAAGTACTAAAATACCTCTGTTGTTTAAAGTTTTGTGATAGTGTTCATGTTAGATCCCAGAAATGTGGTGGTTATGAAATGGATCTTGGCCTCTGGATGTGACTGGGGCTGGTCTTCTGTTGGCAGAGTTCTCCAGAGTTCAATTGCTGGCTTCTCACTGCTGCTTCAGAGGCATCCACATTGCTGGTCTCTCTGATTACTCTGCCTTCCAACGCTGTGTGTGCACACAGGCTCCTGGGGCCAATCATTGTCCTGGTCTTGCATTGCTAGTCAGTTTACTGAACAAAGGCATGTGTCCTTACACTCCCCTTGCAGACACCACCACCCTAGGAAAATGGAGGAAGCACAGAGCATGGACTTACACTCTTCTTACAGGCACCATCATCCAGCAGACAGTGGAGGAAGAGCAGAGTGCAAACTCACACCACAAATAACTTCTTAAAAGAACCATTATTTTTAAATAAATTGAAGAATTGGAGAAAACTATTTTTTCTGGTAGCATAATTTTTGTACTTAAATATATAATCTCTTCTGCTTTACTAAGGGGAAGTTGGAGAAACATGATTAAATTAGTTTTAAATATCAGTAACATCAATAGTGCTATAAAACTTTAGTAACAATAAGTCATAAGATGTTAGAATAGAACAGGGAGTCTGTCAACAATATTATGCAATGAAATCATTCTTTTTCAAATTGACAATAACACAATAGTCCAAAAATGTATAATTTTAGGTAACTGCAATTAGTAGCAAAAAGCATGATTATATACTTCAGGCTCCATGGAAAAAATTATTAATCTAGTGTACATTTTGAAGTTATGGCAAAAGATGAAAGTGAAGGAATCTAATTGGCCTCTACTCTGATGAGTCAATATGTCTCCAGTCAATGAAGAAAACAGAGTAGTCTTTTCAAAAATGGGATCTAATCCAGACTCTAAGGACTAAATAAAAACTGCCATACTTATGGAACTGATAGAATAGACTCATGGCAAGATATGGAACTCACCCTTCAGTTTTTCAATACTTTTAAAGGAGGGGGAAGTTTTCAGTAATGTTTCTAAGACAGATGAGCCCAGTAAAAAGAAGCAATCTACCAGTAATTTTAACATGCAGCTATGTTAAACATGACCCTGTTTCTTTCTGTTATCACTTAACAATCTGTATTTAGCCATAAGTTTTTATATTCTTTTTATGTGCTTCTTTTCCTATGAGTTTCCCCCAATTTGACAAATACATTCAGTTTCCTTTCTGTGATAGAAGAGAAAAATAGTAATTTTTTCCTAAAACTATATTTTCAAGCATCAAATATATCTCTAATTTCTCTAGTACAGTGTGCTACATTATCTTTTGGTGCTTTGAAAATCAAAAACACTATTTCCTTGTCATGATATGACACTTTGAATAACCCATTTTCTTTCAAATATGTAACATTCTATTTCCCACCTGGGAATGACTGCTTGTCATCTTTAAAGTAACCAGTCAAAGGTTGTTTACACTGGTAAATCCAGTTTCTTTAAACTCAACTGTTTCTCATTTTGTATAGTGGAAAGGGACTGATTTCAGTGATTTCACTGAAACAAGATAGACGTGTTATAATACACAATAATAGATTTCTGAAAGGGAGAGGAGAATGAGCCAATGTAAAACAATTAAGATGTATTACATAGATGTACCAACTATCCATGATGAGAATAATTATTATATTCTCAAAAGTGTACTAATAAAAGTAAAAATTTAAAAATAGATTTCTAAACTTTATATGATAAAGAAATTTTCTTTTGGAACTGCAAACAGTGCTAATTAGTTCTTCAAGCTAAATGTTTTACCAATTTCTTAGACTTTGAAGTCACTGAAATTCAGGCTTACAGGTATCCTTCAGGATATGCACTTAGGATGTCAGTTTTCCTGTAAGGGTTACAAATATTTTTACTACAAATGCATGAAAATTGGGCATATAACTGTAACATCAATCATCTCCACTAAATACTCAGTGAGAGCCTTCTACATGTAAAATACCACAGATGGTAGAGCTGCAAAGAAATTTCAGGATCTGTACCTTCAGAAAAATGACTTCATATGTACAGTACTCATCTCTTGGATGGAGAATTTGTCCTCCCATGCCTATTTCTCAGAATAATAATAAAAATAATGCTATTCCCCATTTTTTAAAATGTGACTAACCCAATATTAGTGTACATGATTTTGAAGGTTCTTTGTTTTTATCAAAGTACTTTTCTCTAAGCTATTTAATATGATAATCACTATATAAATGGTGCCACTGTTCAGTTGAAATTAGGTTAGTCCAATTGAGATGTGTGGTCAGGATGGAATCTACACTAATTTCAGAGATGAAGCAGACAGATCTACAAAAAAAAACCATAAATAATATCTTTATTACATTTTTAAGTGAAAATATTTTAAATATATTAAGCTAAAGGATATTAAAATTAATTTTACCTGGTTTATTTGGAGGGTTGGGGTTTTTTTGGTGGCATTGGGGGTTGAATTCATGACCTTATGCTTACCAGACAGGTGCTGACACCACTGAGCTAAATCCCCAGCCCTTTTTTTTTTATTTTTAAATATGACTACTGTTTTTATGCTAAAATTATTCATGTGGCTATTGACCAGCAGTAGACTAGTTTCTCACAAGATACAAAATGACACGCAATTATAGGTATAAGTTATAGAATTTAAGGGTATGATATGCTGGAATGATAAAGGACAAAATCAGAAATAATATCAAAGTCTTTCACTAAATGAACTATCAATACTACCAAGAAATCTGGGAAGGTAACAATGGATCTAATTATAATAGCAGCAAAAAGTCCACCCTGCTAGTTCAGGAAGTCTGGTCACTTTGAGAATCCCTAGCATCTATAATACCTGAATCCCTACAGGTTTATATGTGTAAAGAATCACCGTCATGGTAGCCACTTACTGAACAAACTATTCCTTTTGTTGTTGGGTCAAAATTATATGATTAGTAAAGGCACTAGTTACAGAATAACAAACTTATAGACATATTATAGCAAGTTAAAATCAAATAGTAACCTTTATCTATGTTCTTGGTGCTTATCATATAGCTAGCATGCTAACTTCTGTCAGCCCTGTCTGGGTCCAGCTACTTTTCTCCTGATAATGTACTGGGCCAATTTGACTATTCCCACTTATGTTTTCCTTAATTTAGAAAATACATTGCTTCTAACTGGCCTCAAGAACTTTGGTTAGGGTGAAGTAACACAGACAAAGATATTTTTAACTCTGCTTGCTCTGTTTGAACCCCCTACTCTTGTCTCCAGGATGTTCCTATGTCATTGTAAACAACTCCTTTTAAGCTGTGTATTTAAAGTTAGTTTACTTGACAATATATGACTAAATTCAATCCATATAACCAATCATGTAATGCCTTGTACTTCCTGCTTGTAAACTATACTTAAACTGAACCCAAAACAACCTCAGTCTTGATGATTTGGAACTGAGATTCCCATCATCCTGCTGGCATTACAATGAATAAACAGTTGCCTTCTAAATTCCTCACTGCAGAGTCTTCCATTTGATTTCCTATTTGTTTTTCTATAACTGTGTGGTATTCTTAATAATCTTTTGAGGTACATTAGTCAAATTTGGCTAAGTGCTGAACAGCATTTCCCCCAAGTTTCAGTGGCCCAATGAAATAAGTTTTACTTCTTTACCTTTATGCAGTCACAAGAACTGATGACAGGTTTTGATTCAGGTTTCTTTTGTCCATAGCTCTTATTTCTTAGAGATACCTGGAGTCTTTTCCCATCAGCTAGCAGGCAGAGAAGAGAGACAAAATGAGATATGGAAGATTGCCTGAACTGGTGAATCTAAGCCATTCCAAGATTCTGAAATTCTTTCTGAATTATCAAAGAGAGCTTTTCTGATAGTCTTATTATTAAGAGTTCTACATATGATAAAATAACCCATTTAAATTTTATATTGCAAATAGAGTATTTGTGTTAAATCAGTCACATTGTTAAAATATTTACCCTCATTTCATTCCCTGGTATTTCTGAACAAAAACTAATTGCACTTGGTAGAAGTACAATACATGGAGTCACTAATATAAAACTGCAGCATGTTCTTTATAGAAAAATGACTAGTGATCTGAGTGTGACATGTAGACAAAATTTCTAGGTGTGAGAATCACTAAGTGAGTCTGGCTATGAAATAGAAATCAAGGCCTACCCAAAGATTAAGTGAAAAGGCTGCAACAATGTATAAGATTTACAAATCTTAAATTTGACTTGATATCATGATCACTTTAAGCTTTAAATTTTTGGTGTCATTGGTCAAATTTATTTTAGTGGTCATTGAATGACACAACTAATTCCAGGGGGAAAGTCTAGAAACAAAGGAATAAAAAAATTTTGAAGCACCATAACTATGATGGTGACAAAGAGCAAATCCAAAGATGCCAGACATTCCCCATACTTTTTATTAATTTTATATTAATTATATCTCAGGAGTACTTTACTACCACCATGCCTTATTAGTCAGTAATCCTGATTCTACTGAGTTTATGAACATTTTTCTAAAAGAATACTTTTTCTTTTTATTTCTATTGTCATTCTCCAAATATTATTATCTAATCTTAATCCTCCTTGGGACAATCCTGAACTGGTCTCACAATATATGATACTTTTGGTCTGGGTGCAGTGGAACAGCTAGACGAATCTGGGGTTCCTGTATCCCCGTGTGTCTGGAGGACTGTAGAGTTCTAAGCAAGCAGGCGAGCACCACTGGTTCCAGAGGCCTGGCGTCCTGGGGTAAGTGCCCCGCACACTTTCCCCCAAGCCCAGCTTGTTTGGGACCCTCGAGCCTTCTGGGTGCAGTGGAACAGCTAGGCAGGTCTGAGGCACCTACATCTGCCTTCCCATTCCGGCTGTGCTTGGAGAACCGTGGAGTTCTAAGCAAGCAGGCAGGTGCCTACTTTCCGTGGAGCCCAGCTTGTTTGAGACTGTGGAGTTCTAAGCAAGCACAGGAGCACCAATAGTTCCAGAGGCCAGGCGGCCTGGGGGAACTGGGAATCCCAGGAGCTGTGGGCATAGAAGTGGATTTCCTACAGACCCTGAGGAAGCTTTCGAATACCACTTGAAACACAGAAATATAGGAAAATGACAAAAGGAAAGACTAAAATGCAATCTCAAACATCCAGCCCATACCAAGAAACCTTAGGAGTGATGTATATAGAAGAAAATATATGCCATACACCTCAAATATCGGACATAATAGCAACTGAAATAAACAAGCAACTCCCGGAAGCTTATAGGAATTCAAACTAGAAATTATCCCCAGGTAAAAGAAGAAATGATAAAAGAAATGAAAGAGATGCTAAACATATCTAAAGAAAACACAGTTTAAAAAATTGGAGGAACTAAACAAAAAGATAGAATCTCTAGATGAGCAACATAAAGAAACAGAATACATAAAGCAGATGCACAGAGATATACTGGAAATCAAAAATTCCACAGAAAGCTGTAAAAACCGCCTCAATGAAAGTGAAGAGAGAATTTCAGACCTTGAAGACAGGATTGCAGCTAGTGAACAGGAAAGCAAAAATCTTTTAAAAATAACAAAGAATCAGGTGATAAAAATTCAACAACTGTAAGATGATGCAAAGAAAAACAACATAAGATTGATAGGGATTAGTGAAAAAGAAGGGGATGACATAAAGGAGGTCAAGAGGATATTTAGAGAAGTAATAGCTGAAAATTTCCCAAGCATGAGATCGGAAACCAACATCAGGTTCAGTGAAGCATATAGAACTCCAAATAGTCATAACCAAAATAAAACTACACCCAGACATATAATAATCACCATTCCAGAAATCCAACACAAGAATAGATTATTAAAAGCTGTCAGAGAGAAAAGACAGATCACTTATAAAAGAAAACCTATCAGAATCACAGCAGACTTCTCAGCACAAACAATAAAGTCAAGAAGAGCATGGAGTGAAGTATTCCAGATCCTAAAGGAAAATAATTTCCAACCTAGGCTGATGTACCCTGCAAAACTATCATTCAAAATTGATGGTAAAATAAGATACTTCCATGACAAAGAACAGCTGAAGAACTTCATGATCACCAAGCCAACCCTACAAAAAATATTGAAACACAGTGTAGATACACAAAGGAAAAAAACACTAAGCAAAGCAGATAATTAAACAGAACAGAAAGATAAAAATGCAACAGCAGAAAGATAACATGTCAACAATAAATCAACATATAACAGTTATAACCATTAATGTAAATGGCCTCAATGCACCAATTAAAAGAAACAGACTGACAGAATGGATCAAGAAACAAAATCCAACCATATGCTGTTTACAGGAAACCCATCCTACCCAGAAGGATACTCACAGACTGACAATCAAAGGATGGAAAACAATACTTCATGCAACAGGAATCTAAAAAAAAAGCAGGAGTAGCCATTCTGTTTGCAGACAATGTGAACTTTAAACCAATAATGATCAGAAGAGACAAAAAAGGTCACTGTATACTCGTTAGGGGAAAAGTCCAAGAGGAAGAGATAATTATCTTAAATATATATGCACTAAATTCCAGAGCACCCAGATATATAAAACAAGTATTCACAGAAATGAAAAATCAAATTATCAGTAACACAATTGTAACAAGAGACCTTAACACACCATTGACACCAAGGGACAGATCAACCAGACAGAAAATCAGCAAAGAAATAACAGAACTGAATCACACCTGTGAACAAATGGACTTGATAGACGTATACAGAGTGTTCATCCAACAACATCAGAATACACATTCTTCTCAGCAATACATGGGTCATTTCTCTAAAATAGACCATATATTAGCTCACAGAATATATTTAAATAAATGCAAAAGAGTTGAATGTATCCCCTGCATGTTATCGGATCATAGCGCTTTGAAATTAGAAATTAATGATAAAAGATACTGCAAAAATCCCACAAACATATGCAAACTGAATAACACACTCTTGAGTATTATCAGTGGGTCACAGGGGAAATTAAAGAAGAAATTAAACAATACCTACAAGAAAATGAAAATACAGATACAACTTACCGGAATCTGTGGGGTACAATGAAAGCTGTCCTCAGAGGAAAATTTATTGCACTGAGTTCCCACATCAGGAAAACATATATGATTCTTTCTAAGCTTGATATAATCAATACAATTTCTACAGGTTTGAAAAACTTCCTCATGGTCATGAAGCTAGAGTTAAACCTTTCCGTCTAGTAGGTTCCCTCTCACTGGATATATGGCTTTTCACATCATTAGCTATCAGGCTTTGTTATACATCAGATAAGAATTTTCTTCCATCAGAACTTGCCTATTATCTCATTCTGAGACAATCCTCAAAGTCAAGGTTGTCTCAGTTCCACTGTGCTGCTGGGCTATGTCAAGCCATTCAGTGCTTACTAATGCTATACTATTACGTGTCAAGCACTGTCCTTCGTACCTTTGAAAGTCTGCACAACCACTCCACAAATCCAGTCATCTCATCTGTCACCTGGAGTTTCGTCCTTCTTTGAGATGGGCTTCTCTGAGAAATTCTATTGCTTTTATTCTTGTGAACTTTGTTGTCAATTGTGGCTCTTCTGCTAAACTCTTGATCTCATATATCTCACGTCTTGCAGCCTCTGCTTAACTTGTGTACAAAAGCATCTTTCCTTAGCGTCTCCTCAACAACACAGATTGTGCAATATAGTAGGTTATTGCACTGCCAAAATACCTGTCACTAAATATTATAACTTATATGTTTGTGGTATTTAAAATCCTTGGTTCTCTTGCCACTAGGCTATTTTCCTTTTTTGACTGGATCCAGTTTCCTATCTAGGTGGCCTGGTTTTATCTCTCCCTCATCCTGCCTTGTCTGATTTCCTGGCACTTGACTATCTCATGTGTATTATTGCAATGTACTGCTTAGTTCTTTAATTGCCTTGCAGTTGCCTTCTGGGCCTCACTCTCAAAGTTTCACTTGCTGAACTAAGAGTAACTTACAGAGGCATTTCCCTAAAGGAGGACACCCTTTAAGTAAAACTGTAGTACACTCATTTACAATATTTCATATTCCTTTAAAATATTTAGCAGAGAGATTCTTAATTTAAAAAATAAGACAACTGAGCCTCAATGGAGACACATTTCATAGTTCACATGCCTTAAAAATTCAGATCATTTTACTCTGCATAGCTTTGTCTTTTAAAGCACAATGCTGAAATTCTGAATATTTTAAATTAATAAATCTTATTTTAAGCAATTTTAAGTTTACAGCAAAACTGAAAAACTACTTTTGCAAGTACCTCCTGTAACTTCCCTACACAAGTAACCTTTGCCACTATTCATATCCTGCACTACAAGGCACATTTTAAAAACTTGGTGGATTTATATTGATACATTATCATTACCAAAAATCTACATATAGTGTTAGGGTTCATGTTTGGTACTCTACCAAGAAAGTCAGTGCTGGATCACATGCTAATAACTTTAGTTTCATGAGCAACTCCCAAACCGTCTTCAAATATAACTGTGCCATTTTGTGTTGTCAGCGGCAAACAAGCGTTCTTAATGTTCCTTGTCCTCACTGGTATTTGTCATTATCAGTGTTTTGAACTGTGGTCAATTTAGTTCCATCTCGTTGTTTCTATTTGCAATTCTTTAACAACATAAGATGTTAAACATCTTTTCAAATGCTTAGTTGTAATGTATATGTTATCCTTTACAAAGTCTGTTTGGACAATCCAGTTTTTTTAAACACAAACTTTTATAACATCCATGTTTTTGTATTGTCTTTGATTCCACCTTTAAAATTTAAATGAGACTATTCTATTTTACAAAGAAGGAAACTGATTCTATAGAGATGAAAACCAAACCCATGAGAGTAGCTAGAAATTTAGAAGCAGCAAACTTTAGTCCATGAGACATAGAAAGATGTGACTGTGGAAAGAAAGAAGTATCCAAGAGGAGAATATTTTAGGAGTCAAGGGAGGCCAGAGGTGAAGCAGATTTTTTTGGTTGTTCATTTGTTTTGAGAAAAAGCTTGATAACAACAATATGACTGTTATATAGCAAAATAATCATTGATCATTGGGCAGCAGCATGACAGACCAGAGACAGCATGACAAGCAATAGCCTGCCAGTACCACTAACCTGCGGTTCATCACTGAAACAACTCTCAGTTTTACTTTGTTCATCTGAAAAATGAAACTATGCTTCTTTGAAGTTCCCAACTTTGTGTTTTCTGCCTATGGTACATTATCTTTTACTTTATCAATGCTTTTATGTCATCTTTTATTATCTTGATGATTTTGTTAATTTATTTAGCATCTAACTTTTTTTTTTGCCTTGTTAGATCTTTAATGATTGACTATCTAACCAAGCTTTCATCAAACACATGCGAGCTTAGTTATATTTATAATAAAATTTTTAAAATAATCTAATATTTGCATGGAAACAAATTATATAAATGGTACTCTCTGCTACACTAGTTTCAAGAGTGGTATAGCATAAACTTGACCATTTATTTTGTATAGGTTACCTCTTTGTGTATTTTATGTATCTAAAATACTCTATTTAGCCTTGAAACTACTAGATTTTTAATTTAAGTTTTGGAGGTTGAAATAGCCATATGCAAATCTATCTCTAATCCACTGCCTTTAAAGAGAATTAATATCAAAAAGCAGTCTTTACCAAATGAGAGTTTCACAGCTTAAATTTGCAAACTGTCAACAGTTCTTACTTTCTTGGATAAAAAGACTGTAAACCAGTTAAACTGTAATTACAACTAATGATTGTTACTGTAGTGCCTTCATTTATAAAATACTCTGCTCCAATTAACAGGGCATTCAGTGTTTTGCATAAGCAATTAAAATGTAGCTAAGCACATCGAAAACAAAAAATAATGAGCCAAATAATATAAAAGAAATACAGGGATATGTATGAATTGAGGAGAAAATGAGCAAAGTAAGAAAATATTTAAATCCAAAGCTTATCTAAAAAATGGAAATGTTTAGGAGGCCAGTCAAACATACACACAAAATCAAGGAGTATTGAATCCAGCTGCAAAATATAGGGCTATATAAGTAGTCCTACCAAATATAGTAGGTACCAGACACATTTATTTTCCCTCAGAAAACAGAGTTATATTTGAGAGAACTTTTTCTGGATGAACTTTTTAACTTCACTTTTTTGTGAAGATATAAACATTAAATTCAGACTCTATGTATGGACATAGGAAACAAGTAAATAAACTTAAATAGCAGAAATCCCATGGTCTACACAGCCCACCCTATGTTCATGATGCTGTTTTACCTGTAGCATTTAAGGTTCTGGAGGATAAATATCTGCAGCCCAGAAGAAAGCAAGATCAAAACCTGGAAATAATGACAAAGGCAAGAACAAGAGCTATTTAGGGTGTCAAGAGAATTTGTGGGATAAGATTCAATGTTACTTCATTTATGGAAAATCTAGATCAAACTACTTTAAAAGAAAAAGCTCATTATAGACCATAGAATATAATACCAAATATCTCTTTCTCCTTTTTCCAGTCACTCACTCATCTCTTAACCCTTTATTTTCCAGTTCCCAGTGAAAAAATTTTCTTTGAAAAGTCACTAATGATCTTATCATCATGTTCACCAGGTCCATCCTCATTTTTTTATATCACTGTAATTTCACATTACAGATCAACATTTTCTGGAAATTTTACAAACTGTGTTTCTACAACATTGTGCTACTTTACTCTTCCTCTGACCTTTGGGAAACTTCTTTTCTGCTTCTTTTTAGTTTTTATTTACTAATATATTTTTCATAGTTAAGTACAAAGTATTATGACAAAGTTTAAGGTGACTCAGAACCTCTGGTATCTTTCTGAACAATTTAAGGATTTTCAAATGGTTTAACCAAATTCAATGAACATCATCCTCTTTTATTATAATTGTCTAAACTTAAATTTTACTTTTTATTTAATCACAAATACAAATGAGAAGTCATTTTTAGGGGCTGGGGATTTAGCTCAGCGGCATAAGCGCCTGCCTTGCAAGCAGGTAGTCATGAGTTTGATCCCCGGTACCGATAAAAAAAAAAAGACAAAAAGAAGTTATTTTTAGTAATTAATTCAACTAAATTGAATTTCTGAGTGAATTTTTGTCAATATCTAATAATACCATTGTTTATTCTATATCATGACTTCCTCTGGGGGTTACTAATACAAGAGAGGCATATACTGTAGTTATAATTTAGTGAAAATGTGTTGATGGGACACTCTCTTCACTCTTTATGTATCTTAAAACATATTTGGTTTGTCCTAATTCTTGAGGAATAACATAACTCATATACCCTTCTAGACTTTTTTTTTATCCCTCTCAGCATTTTGAATATTTAATTCCACTCCTTTCTGACATTTGGTTGGCTTGTTGTTTTCCGTTTTTTTTTTTTTTTTTTGAGATATTCAGAAATTCCATTCATAAGTTGGGTCCAATAAGACAATCCCAAATCACAGTCAAAATGCTCAGCAGAAATCTGCCCAAAGATAAAACAGTACATCTGGAATACTAAGGATGAGCAGAACTATAAGCATAAGCAAGCTATATGAGCAAGTATTCACACTTCCATGTCACCCACCACCCTAACAAATTTGTACCAAAATGCCTCTCTCAGCTCACAGCAATTGTTTTATTAGGGGTTGCCGTACAACCAACTGAGGGTTTGTTTTGTTTGGTTTTGTTTTGTTTCGTTTCATTTCATTTTTGAGAGTGTCAGTGAGTTTAGGTTGATCTTGAACTCATTATGTAGCCCAGGCTGACCTTGAGCTCATGGCAATCCTACTTCAGCCTCATGACAATCCTCCTTTAGGGATAGGTTATGGACAAGTTGGTTCAACACACAGATGCCAGTCAAAAGTGGAATGTAGCTGCATGATGACATTACTCAGCATGTCCCTGAAGAACAGTAGAGAGGAAAATATTCCCAAAGAACAATGTCTTGAGCTGTGCACAAGAGAGCTACTTCGTGTAGAGCACTACTACATTTCTTTAGGCCAAAAGATATGCAAGTCATAATGAAAAACCAAATATGTTTTTCATTACCCTTCTCCATTATCTGTTCTTATCTGTCAAACCTCTTGGTTTTAAGGTAACATAAAACTTAGTAAAGCTTCTTGTTCATGAAAGAGAGCATTTATGAAAAGCATACAGAAATATTTTTAAATCTCCAGGATAAGAATGAACCAGACCTAAGGAAAATTCTAAAAATAGAAATTAGAAATTCATCTGGATCCTTTCTCCACCTCATCTGTTCCTCTCTGAATGTTTGCATGTTTCTCTTTCTCCCCATCTTTCCTTTTTCCTCTCTTCCCCTTTTTATCTGTTTCCTATCTATGAAAGGAACTTGAATTTTTGAAACAGTGTAAATATAGAGAATTAATTTTTGAAATTTAGTATAAATATAGATTCTTATGTCAAAATATGCAGTGGTCCTGCTCCAATCAGGTACCTATTCTTGGTCCAATTATTACAGGCAACTGAGTTAGATAGAAATATTATAGGCAGTCAGACAGGGGTTGGTCCTCAAAGGAGCCAGTGCAGAAAGCCAGATACCTTGCAACTGTGAGAGAGACAGACACATCCACTGTGGGCCAGATCTCAAGACAAAAGGTAAAGCAAATGCACCCACATACTTCCTAAGGATAAGCATTAGGAATTTATATGATAAATAGGTCTTATCACCCTGAGGAAGCCCGGAGTCACCATCCCACCGCCCTACAGGAAGAGTCACTGCTCTTTATACATCCCCTCTTGCTACTTGACTCATTTCTCTGTTTGTTCCTGATTTAATCAATTTTACCTGAACAATTAATCTCATTGGTTGGCCATAGTTCTGTCCCACCTCATGCCCACTTTGTCAGTTCTCATGTTTCCCCTACCTTATACCTGCCTCATTTTGTGGTTTTGCTCTACAAAAGTCCCTAGAAAAGACAGAGTCTTTGGCAACCCACTCAGAATCTCCACCTGTCTCTTCCTAGGGCATATTTTCCACATCCTGAGATGTAGAACTACTAACACACTTGGTTATGCTTCTAAAACCTCTCAAGTTGACACAATGTATCAACCATTACAATCCACCCCTTGTCAACCAGACATGTTTCTTTAAACTGGTCTCCAGATAGAAAGACATGCTTCTTCTTATCATTTCATAAGTTGAACTTTGTAACACATGTTTAACAATCATTAAGAACAGATACTAACTCTATCAACATTATATTACATTAGAACTATAACATTCTGCCCCTGACCTCCCAAAGACTCATGCATATGTCTTTATATTAAAAAGTATTTAGGGCTGGGGATTTAGCTCAGTGGTATAAACACCTGGCTTGGCAAGCACAAGGTCATGAGTTCAATCCCTGGTACCCTCCAAAAAAATGTATTTAGCCTATCTCTAAGAGTTGCCAAAGTCCTAACAGTTTCAGTCCTGCTGAAAACTCCAAGACTGAAGTCTTCTCTGAGATGAAAGGCAAACTCTTAGCTGTGAGCCCCAATACAAATGAAAAGTTAAACACTTCTAACATTCAATTATACAAGAAAAACATTTTCATTCCAAAAGTTACAAGCAGGGGGAATACAAAGAATTGAGACCAAAGCAAGTCCAAAATCCAGCAGGGAAAACATTATGTCCTGTGGTTCCATATGCAGCATCTGAGGTAATCCGTAATGAGTAGTCAGCTCCAAAAGGCTTGGGTGACTCTACCCCTTTGGTACTTCCAGTGGTAGCAGCTCCCACGGCCCCTCACATAGATCCACTTTACTCCCTCCTTTTGTTAGATGAACCATGTTCTTGGATCCTCCAAAGTTCTGGGGACTACACTTTGCTTTTAGCTTTATACTCACAGCTTCACACATTGCCCTCCCAGCTACACACTACTTGGCCTCCCAGGTCTTCTGAAATCAGGACAGAAGCTTTCTTATCCCCACAACTCTTGCATTCTACATGTGCCTGAAATCAGCACCACATGGATACTGCTGCCAAGGTCTGCTGCCAACTGGAACAGTAGTGAGGCTTTTCTCTCGCTTGATAGAAGTTGAGTGCCTGGATTGCTGAGCACTAAGAATCCAATTCTGAAGAACAAATTCTCTATGCTGCTACCATTCTGGAATCTGGTGCTCTTCAGCTTTCTTCTTAAACCAGTCTTTCCTTTTGTTGTTTTAGAGCTGGAAAGAGTGGAAACTTGCTACTTCGTATGATGCCTTCAGGCCATCTTTTATATTCTCCTCCTCCTTCTCAGCAATCAAGATCACAGTTTCATCTTTGTAGTCCACAGTTGTACTAGAGTCTCTTTTCTGGCTAAACTCACAACATTTCAAATCATCTTGTTTGCACTTTGCTCTTTGCTCTTGATTCCAAACATAGATCTGACTGAAACATCTAAAAGAATCCATGCCACCACCTCAACATTTGACTACCTTGAAATTTCTTCTGCCAGATTTATTAGTCCACCACCCTTAGTCTCAGTCTCAGGCAAAGTCTCTAAACAGGAACAAAATGCAGACAAACTTTTTGCCAAGGCATAACACACATCATCTGGACTCCAACAACCATTGTAGTCCTTCCTCTCAGCAGAAACCTCCAAAGCCTAATCTTTACTGGCAGAATTTCTATCAACCTTCTAATCTTCTGAGTTCTACACAGTATCTCCAGTACAGAATGACCTAAAGCACTTCATCACTATGCTTTCAAACAACATCTACGAACTTTTCCAAACTCTTCCCACAAGCCATTCTTCAACCTCATTGTCAGGTGTAGTCCAACAACAACCCCACTCTCTGGTACCAAATTCTGTGTTGGTTACTTTTCTCTAGTTGCTGAGACAAAATACTCAATGCCCAAATTTAAGGAAAGAAATATTTATTTGACTCGCAGTTTGTGTAGGTTTTGTTGTTGGCATGAAAATCTCTTTAGTTAATTTCTGTTTTCCAGTGATGTGATTGAGCTTCGCTTTTGTTTTCAAAAGATATTGTCTACCACTTTGACATATTCAATTTAATTGAGTTGGACCAGTCACTGCCTTAGGAGGACAGAATTTATACTGGCAATAATAGCTAAATCAATAGATTCAAGCATATGTTGATCATAAACATTAAAACATAGTTTGATAATATAGCTCATTTATCAAGGAACCCTTACACATACTATAGGATCCTTTCTTAATAGCACTCAATAAAATGCAATACCTATGAATCAATCTAACAAAGGAAGTAAAAGATCTATACTGAAAACTGAACCACTCTGAAAAAGGAGTTTGAAGGGGATATCAGAAAATGAAAGACAGAACATGGATGGGCCACAGGGAGGACAACCAGATGCCAGCCCCTTCTTGTTAGTCAGTGCCATTCACAGGCACAGGGAGGAGAATAAGAAGCCAGCCACTTCCTGTGAGTCAGCCATGGGGAGCACAACCAGATGACAGTAGGCTGAGAGACAAGAAGAGCCATTTCCCCCCACCAATACACCATGAACAACCAGCTGATCTGGAGAAACAAAGGCTGATATAATAACTATTGAGGTTAAATACAACTTAATGGTTGTAGTGTTTAGTGTTTCATTGATTTGCAGGCCTAAAGTTGGAAATCTGATCATCTGTTTAAAGGATAACAATACACAGTATAGCATCTACTTGGGAGCACTTTCTGAAAGTGGTAACCATTATTAATTCCCTATTATCTTGTTTTAAAAGTCTTGTATCATCTTCATTGTTTTGTTTAGTTTGCACTTATTTTGTTTTGTCTTGTCTGATTTTTAACATATCTGATGACATGGGCAACAATTTCAAACATAGCAAGATATATGATGATAGTTATTTTGGATGTATTATTATCTTCTTTTCAAATCCTCATTGTGTTGTTTTTATTGGTTCTATTCTGTTCTGTTTAGTTTCATCTTTTAAATTTTATTTTAAGTGGGGTAAAATTAAACAGAGCAAAGCAGAGCAGAAGAAAACAATGTAACAGACACAGATTTCAAAGCAAGACAACAGGAGACCTTTACTGTCTATCGCATTGTTTCTTGTTTTCTTCTAAATAGTTGTCCATATCTTCACACACAATGAATTCATACAAAACAAAATAGTATTAAGCTGATCAGAACAAGATGATGAAAATATTTTAGGTTGTCAAAAACCAGACAATAGGGAAGTCAACATTGGCTGCCATAATGTCTCTCATTCCCTTCAAAATAGCTGTCCATACCTTCATTTATGTTGAAATTAAACAATACAAAACAGACTAAAATCACTCTGAACAAAGAATAATAGTATTGCTGGACTTCTCAGCATGACAATGTGGAATCAGCACTGGCTACTTTAGTGTCTCTTTTTTGTTCAAAGTAGCTGTTCATTTCATCATGCATTATATCATGAATTCTCATAAACAGTTTAGGAGAAGTTCGACACATGTATGAATCTCTACATGTATACTTATTCTTTCTGTATTACAGGGAAAGACAAAACAAAATGAATTCCTAGAAAAACACACAAAAAAATCACAAATAAATAACAATAGCAAAGAGCCCCAAACACTGACAAGGTAGGCCTTCAAAACAAGGTAGTATGAGCAAAATTAGGGTTATTATTTTACATAATGATGTTCAAGAGTTCCTCAGATCACCATACACTAATATGCACAATTGTTCTAATCTATGAATGTTAACTATTTTGTTCCAAGAACTTACAGAATTTGCAGCATAATCGTCTTAGCTATACTAAGTGTGTTTATATAATTTTAGATATTTTTCTTTACCCTTCCTTTTTCCTTTTCCTCATTTGCTCTGAGATATTATTTATTCCCCTTTTAGCAGATTCTTATCCTTTCACATTATTTATTAAGTTTTTTGTATTTTATGTATTCTTACCATTTCTTACACTAGGGAGACTATATGATACTTCACATGTGAGTTTGATTTATTTCACTTCTGAGTATGGTCTAGAGTTGCATCATTTACTTATAACCATCTCATGTGATCATTCCTCATAGCTGAGTAGTACTCCATTGTATAAAAATATCACATCTTTTTTATCCATTCCTCAGTTGATAGGCATTTAGGTTGTTTCCAAGATCTGGCTATTACAAATTGTGCTGCTATAAACATGGGTACACATACATCACTGTGGTATGATGTTTTCAGTTCTTCTGGGACTATGCCTAGAAGTGGGATAGCTGGGTCAAATGGGGCTTCCAATTCCAGATTGACCTCCACAGTGGTTGTACCAGTCTACACTCGCACCAACAGTGCAGGAGAGTTCCTTTTTCCTCCCAGCCTCTCTAGCATTTGTTGTTGGTAGTTTTCTTTATCCTTGCCATTGTTTCTGGAGTAAGATAAAATCTCCGTGTGGTTTTAATTTGCATTTCTCTAATGACCAATGATGCCGAAGTTTCTCATGTATCTATTTGCCATTTGTATTTCTTCATCTGGGAACTGTGTGTTCATCTTAGATGCCCATTTTTGGATTGGGTCTTTGAATTTTGGGAATCAGATTTTTTTAATTGTTTATATGTTCAGGACAGAAGTCCTTTGTCTGAAGGACTGTTAACTAAGACTTTTTCCCAATTTGTGTGTTTTCTTTTCACTATGCTGGAGATTTCTTTTGACATGCAAGAACTCTTTAATAGGAGGCTATGCCAGTTGTTGGTTCTGTGAAGTATTTTGAGTGCAGTTTGATTCTTGTTCATGAATTCTCTACCTATCTCTATGTCTTCAAGATTTCTACCTACTTGGTCTTCCAACAGATTTAGGTTAATGTTTTAATATTTAAATCTTTTATCCATTTAGACTTTAGTTTAATACATGGTGATAGACATGGGTCTAGTCTTAGTTTTTGGCATATGGAGAGCCAATTTTTCCAGCACCATTTATTGAAGAGACTATCTTTCTTCCAGTGGACATGTTTGGCCCCTTTATCAAAGATAAGGTGGCTGAGTGTGTTTGTAGTTGAAATTGTATCTTCTAATCTATTCCACTGATCTTCAGGTCTGTTTTTATTCCAGTACCTGCTGATTTTATTACAATACCTTTGTAATATAACTTCAAGTCAGGGATCATGATGCCTTCTGCCTTGCTTTTGTTGCTTAGAATTGCCTTTGCTATTCTAGGTGTCTTCTGGCTCCAGATGAATTTTAGGAGTGATTTCTCTGGATCTGTGAGGTATGCTAGTGGCATTTTGACTGGGATTGCATTAAATCTATATAAGAATTTTGGGAGAATGGCCATTTTCACAATGTTTGTTCTTCCTATCCATGAACAGGGATTTTTTCCATTTTCCAATGTCCTCTTCAATTCCTTTTTCAGGATATTATAATTTTCCCTGAATAGATCTTTTGCTTCTTTTGTTAGATTAATTCCTAAGTATTTCATTTTGTTGGATGCTATTGTGAAGGGTCTTCTCTTATTTCTCTCTCAGTGATTTTGTTGTTAGTATAGGAATACTATTGATTTTTGAGGGTTGACTTTGTATCCAGATACATTTCTGAATTTAGTTAATATACTTAGGAGTCTTTCAATGAAGTTTTGATGGTGTCCTATGTAGAGTGTCATGTCATCTGCAAATAATGATAATTTAACTTCCTCTTTTTCTATCCTTACTCCTTTTATTTCTCTCTCTTGTCTAATTTCTCTGGCTTGTATTTCCAGCACTTTATTGAATAGGAGTGGTGATAATGGACATCTTTGTCTTGTGCCTGATTTTAGGGTAAAAGCTTTCAGGTTTTGGTCATTTAATATGATTTCAGCTGTTGGTTTGTCATAGATGGACTTTCTCATATTGAGGTAAAGACCATCTATTCCAATTATCTGCAAGGTTCTTACCATGAATGAGTGTTTGACCTTATCAAAAGCTTTTTCTGTATCTATAGAAATGATCATGTGGTTCTTACTTTTGGCTCTACTGATATGGTGGATTACATTTATTGAGTTGTGTATGTTGAACCATCCCTGCATTCCTGGGATGAATTCCACTTAGTAATGGTGTATAATCTTCTTGATGATTTGTTGCATTCTATTTGCTAAAATTTTATGGAGAATTTTTGCATCTATGTTCATTAGGGATATTCCTCTGTAGTTCTCTTTTTGGTTGGTTCTTTCTCAGGCTTTTGTATTACAGTAATATTTGCTTCCAGGAATGAGTTTAGGAGTACTACTCAACCATAAAGAAGGATAAATTTGAGACAATTGTAGAAAAATGGATGCAACTTGGAATCATATTCATAAATGAAATAAATCATCACACGGTCTCCCTGGTGTGAGAAACTGGAAAAGTGAATATAGTCTAAAATGTACAATAGATATTTTGAGATGAGAAAAATTGTTCAAAGGGAAAAGGAAACTAGTATTGGAGATAGGGAAAAGGACTATTAGTGTTTCAATTCATTGAAAGGGAAGGTTTTTACTATTATTTATTGGAGAAATATATTTTAATATTCATATCTTGTACTCTGAATGTTTTTGTACTTTAAAAACAACAATATGCAATGTATTAACTATTATTCTTCTATTGTTTGGTTATGAAATTTGGTTTCACTTTTTTCCATCCAATGAAATTTTTAAAAATCCTATCACTGATTATTACTGTATGCATCTAGATGTTCCCTCTGAAAGCCTCATGTGGTCACAGATCTTTTTTTGGAGGTGGCCAGATCTGGATTGTATGATTCTAGGATCAAGTGTGCATGACTATACTAGTCTCCACTGCACCTTCAGCTTCACCCTTACATCTTCACAAATTGCCCTCTCAGGGGCACACTGCATGGCCAGCTGGGCCCTTTGCAATCGAGGTGGAAGCCTTCTTACCCTCAGAATTTGTGCATTTTCCCTTGCACCTAAAATCAGCACGTTGTGGATGCTGCCAAGGTTTGCTGCTAGCTGAAGCGGTAGCCAGGCTTTTCTCTCTCTTGGCTGTAGGGGTCAGTTGCCTGGATTGCAGGGCTCTGTTTACCTGATTGTGAGACAAAGCTTCTCTGTGTTGCCGCCATTCTGGAACCTCACTTGGCCTCTGTCGCCATTCTGGAGCATGGTACTCTGTAGTTTTTTCCTCTGAGCAAAATTTTTCATCTTTGTTGTGAGGCTGCACAGGGTGGGGACCTGCTTCCTGGGATGCCCTGGGGCCATCTATCTTATCTCTCTGTTTCTCCTCAGGAATCAAAATCTCAACTCTGTCTTTACAATTCACACCCTTCCTGGAATCTTCCTTCGGGCCAAACTCACAGGACTGTACATTATCCTGCTGGGCTCTTTGCTCCTGATTTGAAACATAAAGCTGGCTGAAAGGCCCCAACAATAGCCATGCCACAGCCTCAATGTTAAATTGCTTTTTAATTTCTTTTTCAAGATTAATCAGTCCATTGCCTTTTGTCTCAGTCTCAGGCAAAGTCTCTGGGCAGGAGCAAAATGCAGACAAACTTTCTGCCAAGCCATAACACACATCATGTGGAGTCCAACAACCAGTGCAGTCCTTCTTCCCAGCAGAAACCTCCCAAGCTTGGTCTTTACCATGAGGCTTTCTATCAGCCTTCTGGTCTCCATAGCTATGACCAGAATCTCTTCTACAGAACAGCCTAAGCTGCTCCAACTCTATGCATCCAGGGGACCTGTCCAAACCTTTCCAAACTCCGCCCACAAGCCACTTCCAAAGCCTCTAGAAAAACATGGTCAGGTATAGTCACAGCAAACAACCCCACTCTCAGTACCAAATTTCTGTCTTAGTTACTTTTTACTCGTCGCTGAGACAAAATACCTGAAGCCCAAAGTTGGGAAAGGAAAGGTTTATTTCTTACAATTTTTGGAGGTTTCAGTCCACACTCAGTTGGCTCCAAGACAGGCGGGCATGGCTGGACCACTGTTCATGGCGGCTGCAAACAGCAAGCTCAAACCAGCAAAGAGAAAGATATACCTTCTTCCTGCCATTACATCACATCCTGGCTCCACCCCTATGTGGGTGGAGCACTGACACCATCAATCCAAGCACTACACAATGAACCATCACAAATGAACAATGCAAACTCATAAGGCCTGGGGGACACATACTTAAACCATGACAATGCCCATTCTCCTGAAAAATATCAAACAAAAGTCAAGCATGGTTGCCTGTTATCAACACCAATAGATTCATCAGCCTGGGTTATGTAGCACAGTGACTCATTAACCCCCTCTAACAATTGTGCCACCATATCCTCTATTTCATCAAATCATCTAGTTATGGTACTGGGTAAAAGAGGAATCATCTGTTAAACTGCAGCCTCTCCTAAATGCACACAACAAATATCTTTAGCCGCAGGCAGGATCAACTTTTCACGAATAGTAAAGAGCTTCTTGGTTCCAAGATACAGTTGCCACCAAAAAACATGATCTCAGGGCACACACAGTTGATGATGGTGGCCTTCAATATTTCCTTCTGTTCTTCATGTTAGTTTTTTTAAATTTCACAGCCTTGTCTTTTAATGCCATGCACTTGGTCCCCATGTAGCAGTTTTAAAGGTTTCATGGCTTTGTTGGGTGCCTGATCCACACATATTTCATAATGAAGGCTTAGAGAATGTAAATCACCTGTTGCCATGAACCTATATTTTAAGTAAGACTTATGGTATTTCCTTTTAAATGTTAGCAGTCTTAGGGAGTCACTTCCTATCTCATTGCTCCCAGTGACATTTTCTCTATACTCATTCTGGCTACCGTTAGCTAGTGGGCTTACCAAAACTGTGACTGAGATAAGTATAAGTACATGGGTTAGAAAAGTAACTCAGACAGAAGTGATAAGTAGAATAACGAGTCGGTTACATACAGATTTAAACAGGTGTCATATTCTGACCTAAAGCCATTTTCCACTGATTTGCAATTTTTTATCCCAATTCTAGATACTACGAACTGAAATTCTCTAAGAAACTGCATATCTGTTAAAAATCCTCAGACTGAATAGACCCTGGATGGCTAGAATATGATGATAATTGAGAGAGACAATACTGTACTCTGAGAGCCAAAATTATTTTGGACCATCTTAGGCCCTTAAATAGCTAATTAGTTTTTTTGGCAACGGAACAACCATTCTAAGGGCTTTAAAACTTCTCAAAATATATCCATAAGCCTAGCAAATCTCTAGTGTTTACCAGTGCTAAAGTCAAGAATGCCATGAGATAACATTTAAACCTATAAAAGAGATTTCCACACTTCTGCAGCCCGTCTACCAAATGCTCCCAATTTCTTTTGTTCTGTGACTGTAAAAGTTCATGTAACTGCTTTTCATGGTGAAAGGTATCATTCAGGAAAGCCTAAATCCACGTTCCTAAGCCTTGGTCATTAACACCTGGCACATAAAAGTTATTTTTGTATGCCCTTTAAAGCACTGTTATTATTTTACATCAAAATACATCTAAAACTTCTGTTACTCTTTGCTTATAAAATTCACTAGCACACACTTGTAAACCAGCACTCTAGGAAGCTGAAGCAGGAGGATCACAGCCTAGGCAATTTAGTGAGAAACCCTCTCAAAATTAAAAAAAAAAAAAATTAAAAAGGGATTGGGTTTATAGCTCAGTGGGAAGGTCACAGATTAAATCCCCAGTACAGAAAAATAAAAAAGAGAAAAAAATACCTAATTCATTCAGGAACTCATTTTGGATACATTCTCCCACAATTATGATTGCAGAAAAAAAATAACAGTTTCAGAAACATTTTTAAATTGCTTTTTAAAATGAAAGAAAATTTTAAAATTACTTTCTAAATTAAAATACTATATACTTTTGCCTAACAATAAACATCAAATAAATATCCAGTATAAAAATTATGCTCACTTGGCAGTAATCTGCCTGAAAACGGAGTAGAGAGGAGGCACTGTCAATTATTTAATTATCAGACCAATAAAAAGGAAAACAATTGAGAAATTATAAAAACTATTAGTTGGCTTTTTCCAGTTCCTTTCAGGACAATGGTTCTTACATATTTTTTTTTAATGTTATTCAAGACTCTCCCCCCCTCCCCCATTACCACCAATTCTCTGATAAAATTCCAGTAGTCAGGAAAGCAGAGCCTAGAAAAAAGCTATTTTCATAAACATCATTGCCTAGTGGTAAAAAGAGGTCCACCCCCAGGTGGGCCGCGGATAAGAAGCTGAGGGATGTGTGGCAGAGGCTCTATCAAGAAAAGAATAGACAGTAAACAAGAACCAAGCTGTCTTAGGGACACTCTCCACGTTGAACTTGTTTTGCTTCTGCTGGGGTCTCTTCTGCCCAGATTCAAGACCACAGCCATCCCAAGGGTTCTGCAAAAAAAATTCGAAAGATTTGAAAATCATTCCAAAGTTTTAGCAGAGATTTACCAAAACTAGACATTATTTTTCTCTCCACTTTCCATATGCCAAACACTTCACATACAACGGGCAACTCATGATCTCATGGCGAATGTTAAAACTATTATCAGCATTGCTCTGCATAAACAGATTTGGGGAATCACAAACTGCCCAAGATCACACCTGTAAAATGTAGTTCATCTCCACAGAAACTTCTTGTGAACAAAATAAATAAATGAAAATTTAAAAATAAAAAAGTCGCTGACCTAAGCCCTAAGAGTGCCAGGATCGAGCTGACTTGAGAGAAGGGCAAGGCCGTGAGCTATTACAAACACTAGCCACCTAGTCATGCCGGCCTCTGTCCTGTCAGCTGTTTCCTGCAGGTGCAGCGGGTGAGGGGCACAAACCCTGGGCGTGTGTGGAAGGATGCAGCATACTGACACCGAGCCCAGAAACATAAGGCCATAAGGTAAAGGTGTTAAATATTAATCACACAAACACATTCAGTAGGCGCCTCATAAGAACGCGATAAGATGCTCCACAAGTCACAGCTGACGCCATTAAACAACACCAGCACCATCCCGACATCCTCTGCGCTCTCGCACAGGAAGTCGGAGCATAAACTGGACCCTCCGGCCACCGTACCCGGAGTTACTAATGGAAACCCAGCTACTGTAGTGATGTCGCTGCCGCAGGCCCCTCCATCACGGGTATTCGTGGAACTGGTTCCCTGGGCTGATCGTAGCCGGGAGAAGGATCTGGTCTCCAGCGGAGAAGCTCTGCCTGGTACCTGCCGGCCCTCCTCCTCCGCACAGGCGCAAATTGCGCCCCGCGAGGTGCACGTCAGCGGTACTGCAGCGGTGTCTGCGCGCCCCGACAGGGCGCAAGTGGTAGTGCGGGTGAGCAGCACAAAGGAGGCGGCAGCTGAGGCCAAGAAGAGCGTGAGCCGCCGCCTGGACTACGTTGCGCAGAGTCTGCGGCAGTGGGGTGTGCAGGTGGGCGCGGCGCAGGGGCCCGCTGAGGGCGCCTGTCGGGGTGCAAGCGTTCCGCTCCTTTCGCTGAGGGAGAGCAATTGTTGGCAGTAGGTCAGGATCTAAAGAATATGTATCGCGTAGGTTTTTAACTGGATATGGTTTTGCTTTTTAATGATGAAATGTTAAACTTATATCGTAAATTGTCAGGTAAAAACCTTGACCCGCCTCCTCCTGGCCAAGCCGGACTGGCGTGGAGTAATTGGAGGGAGACAGGTGGGATCCGTTTTCATTTTTAAAATACTCCATCCAAAAATCTTGAGCTTTTTTAGACTTAAAAAAAAAAAAAAAAAGGAGCCAGTGTATTGTAGCTGGCACATATATGAAAAACATGTAGTTATAAATGAGACAGATCACTAAATAAATCTCACTTCTAAGAAAATGAAAAAAAAAACACCTTTATTTACCCCACACAACAATGCAGGTAGACGTATTTTAATATACCCATTTTCCAAAATGAAGGAGGTTATATAATGTTCTAACTTCTAGCAAGACAGTATTTGAACTCACGTGTTTCCCATATCCAAAATCTGTGCTAGTATGTAGGTAATTAAGAATGATCCTAATAATGACCAGTTATTATTTATCTAGGAAAACATTAAGTTGGAAATGATGCGGAATTTTTGCTTTCACTCTATTCCTAGAAATACCATAACCCCTAAAGCAAGTCTTTATTTTAACAGAACATGTATTGCATTTACAAACATAAGCAGTTGTTAAAAAGTTATTTGGAAAAGTTTTCCCCATTTTAGAAAGATTCAAATGCTAATTTTAAGTAATGTGTATAAAATAGATTTAATCTATAGGAAAATGTTTAGTAAAAATCTTCCTGTTACAACTGAAGACCTATCTGAGAAATGTAACTAGCTCTTAAGTCATTTGCATAAATGTAAACTGAGCTCATGTAGCTCTAACCTCTATGTAAAACAAAATAAATTATTAACTCAATTTTATAGTAATTACATTGAAGATATTTAGGACGAGACAAAGAAAGAATTGTCATGTTCTAGTTATCTCTGTTAATGGAGAAAAGCAATCATCTAGGTAATTTATTTAGTTGAAGCAATCATCTAGGTAATTTATTCAGTTGATGTAAAATCATTTATGTTATTTTTCAGGATGAATTAATGGTCTTCACAAAATCCTTATTCATTTTAAACTTCAGAATTTGTTAGTAATGTTTGTAAACATCACTCCCCAGTTTAAAACATCATTCCCCAGTTTCCCTTATAATCTAAACTTTTATTCCCATTAGTCTCACTTTAAAAACCAGGCCAAGCTCACTTTCTTGGCATTCCTTTCTATCATAACACTAATCCCTGCCATATAACACTCCACTTTTCACTTGTAATAAAACTTTTCACCTTGTACTGTAATTCTTGATTTACTAGTTTCTACTCCATACTCTAAACCTCTCCAGAGAAGAAGCCATTTGTCTTATTTTTGCATTCAAGGGGTATGTTCATACTCATTACATAATTTATACCCCCCCAAAATATTTCTAATAATAAAATACATAAATAAGTTATAGTTCAACTGCATTATAGATCATAGATTTATGAGCTTCTGTAAAGATATAATCCTCATTTTTAGCCTTGCTTTACTGGAAAAATGTTTTATTCAACAATCTTTTTTGTATGAATCTAATATTTATATGTAACAAATGAATAACATACTTTAGACAGAAATTTGTTCAAAATGGAAAATAGATCTAAACATAAATGTTAAGCAAGGAGTATCTGTTACTTACTATCAGAATGAAAGACTGACCATTTTACCCATTGCTTCATGGTATCAGGATCACAAGAAAACTCAACTGGTCAAGACCTGGAGGGGGCAACCCATTAGTTACACAGAAAAGAAACCCAAAATCACCTGCAGTAATAGGTGTCAGTCTACCACAATCAGCTGATTTCTTGGCAGCCAATGCAGGGTAATTGGCCTACATACATCTCTTGTTCTGTTTCAAGGATGCTATCCCTTCCCCACAGGAACAACTATAGCAGTGGGGACTGGCCAGGTGTCATGTGATACACACCATTATGCAGAACAAAGGAATACACACTTGTGACTCAAGTGCCTAGGTAAGGATAATCTCATACAGGGCAGCAAAGCCAGTACAAACTGCAGGACACTTTATATGCTGGTAAGGAACTGTCCTATGGCCAAGGCCTGTTCTTAGGCACTGAATAGGTGTTGAAAACCTGTGTACAAGAACACCTTTTCTAACTAGATTTAGTAAAGCCTACAACTTCTAGAAGAAAGTAAATGAGAAAATCCATGTGACCTAGGATTTGAGGATGAGTTCTTAGACTCAAAGCACATCTATGAGCCAACTAGAAAGATAAATTACACTTTACCAAATTTTTAAAAATTTCTCTGTTTCTCTGTGATATACTAAGAAAATGAAAAAGATGTATAGACTAGGAGAAAATATGTATAAATTATGTAACTTGGATTTGTATGAAAAATAAATGAGGAATTTTCAACAATAAAAACAAGTTCTGCTCAGACACTTCATCCAGGAATATGTACAAATGGCAAATAAATATATGAAAAGATGTTTAATATCATTTATCATCAGGGAATTGGAAATTAAAACTATAATGAGATATTACTGTGTACCTATTAGACTGGCTAAACTCCAGTAGCATGGATGATGCCAAACAGTGACCAGGACACAGAACAACAGTAATTCTCACTCATGGTTGGTAAGGTTTCAAAATGACATCTACTTTGGAAAAAAGTCTTCTAGTTTCCTATAAACTTATATGTTAACTTGTCATAGAAATTAGCATTCCTGAGTAATTTACCCCAGTGAATTAAAAATGAAATTCATGTAAAATCTGAACTCAGACAATTTATGGCAGTTTTATTCATAATTGCTAAAACTGGAATGAACTAAGATATGTCTCAGCAGGGGAATGGATAAGCAGACTGTGCTACATGCATGGAAAAGATATTATTCAGCCATAAAGGGACAAAACTTGATTCACAGAAAAAGTTTGGTGAATCTTGAATGTGCCTTGATAAATAATGTTTTTACAGAAGGAAAAAGGCCAAAAAGGTTTATATTATATTCCTGTGACATGCCTGTGAAAAAGGCAAAACTATAGAGATAGAAACTAGATCAGTCAGCAGGGCTTGTTGAAGAAGAGAGCCGCTGAGTATAAAGGGAATGTCCAGACTCCTTACGGTCCAAGACCTGTTCTTCATGGTACTGACATGATGGATACATAACTCCATGCATTGTCAAAACCCATAGAGTTGGAAGTAACAAAGAGTTGTTAAAAATGCAAGCTAGCGGGAGGGGAGAGGCATTCAACAGGCCAGAGGATTCATCCCATGGTAAAATTCAGATTGTGACAGAGGAGCCCGACTCTACTACAAATGAATGGCATAACTGCACCGTAGGCAGTAGGGAAAGAGTGTCCCAAGTGATCTCACGAAGTGGTGTTTTGACTGGACACTGTAAAGATGAAGATGAAATGTACATAAACTCTATACTCTGGTTGTAAATTTATTTTCCAAGGGATACTAGTTAACTGTTCTGAAACTGTTTTATCCATAATGATATACTGGTATTGAACAAATAAGTAAATGGATAGTGGATAGGTGGTGGGAGCCAGGTTTCTTCCTGTTGGAGTAAGAAGTTATAGACAAGCAGGCAAAATTAGGGGCTGGGGATTTAGCTCAGTGGCATAAGCACCTGCCTGGCAAGTGCTAGGTCATGAGTTCAGTCCCCGATACACACACACATACCAAAAAAAGGCAAAATTAAAGTAGTCTGGGACTCTGAATTAGGATTGGAAGTATCAGCAGGAACTCATGTTTTCCATCCTGGTGAAAAGACACAAATAATCATAAATATGTGTGGATTATCTAATTTTTCTGAGAGGGCCTAGAAAGAATGGCAGTCAAGAAGCAATGAGCAGTCTGAGCATCCAATTTTTCTATAAATTCAATAGTATTCCAAAATAAAAACTCATTTAAAAAATTCAGAACCATATGTAGGATATAATCTATGAAAAAGTCTCTACATTGATCTAGATGTGTTTATATATATTGATATTTTTGTCTAAAAGGATTAGGTACCATTAATATTATTTTTCTAGAAACAAAGTGCAGTGTTTTAGAAAACTGCTTTCTAAAATATCAGCAACGATAAGTTTTGAGAATGTTATTTTTTTTCTTTACTCTAGTATTTGTATTTCTTTAATTAGTATGGATTGTTTATATATTTTTAAAATAACACTATTGAAAACAAATAAGGGATGCTTTTCCTTCTAATTCTCTTTTCTAAACTTATTTCTGTAATAATCTTCAGTCAGAAATTTCTATTTAAATTAAGTATAAAAAAAAGATGTCTAAATCTGAAACAAAAATATATTTACATATCATCAAAGAATATTAAATGACAAAAGTTACATGTTAAGAAAAAAGCTGGTTATGAGCTATATACTGTCTATAGTATTTTATATACTTACTGTACTCTTAACTTTTCTACAGTGAATAAGGTATAACCTTTCTAGCAAAAAATAATTGCAGTGAAATTTTCATAGAAGTGATAGATAACAGAGCTATAATTGGAACATGAGTTCACATACTCAAAACATTTTAGAATTTTTCTGGATAACATAAAATGCAGGTAATCAGTTTATGTCTTAGACCATAGGTGCAGCCATTTTCCTGACAAAATAGGGTACTAGATTATTAATTGGTAATATCGTTGTTGTTACTTAGCATTTATTTTGAAAGATACAAAAATATATAAATGTTTTGAATGTCCCCTAGGATAAAAGTAGCTAGAGTTTATTTCACCAAATGTGTTTTAAAAAGTAAATAAAAAGTTTAACTTTTCATCAGAATTATGTACCCCATTTACCCAGAGAGTCAAAAAACATTAATACTACTTTTCTAGAGACAAACTGATTGAAGTGGTGTTTCAGAAACATTTATCTCATAATAATAATAGCAGCAACTCTGAAACACTACACTATGTTAAGTACTTTATATATAGTTTCCCACTAAATCCTTAATTTCGTAATAATATACAATATATAAACCTGTTTTATAACTCAAAAAATTAAGTTACTCACCACAAATTATTTGGAAATTAGAAATTGTTTAAATTAACACTTCCTCTAACATTAAATATACTTTATATGTAATTTCTTATCTGTGTGCCATATCTAGGAACAACTGAAATTAGTAGCCAAACATGTAATAATCATAGTCTTGTTCTATTTCAGGCAGAAAATATAACTACAACAAAGGATTTTAGAAGAGTGGAAAATGCTTATCACATGGAAGCAGAGGTATGTACTTGTAAAATAATTGATAATAGCATAACTTTGTAGAAATAACTTGTCATTCAGTTTTATTCTTGAACTGTAATATATTAGAGAAGTTCTGATAGTATTGATAAAAGATTATTTTAAAATTATTTTTAATGTTATATTCTGATCATCTTTTAAAATAATTTTAATGAGATTTATTAAAGAGAAATTATTTTAAATGAATTAAAATTAACAATGATGAAATAGCACATAAGTATGGCCTGATTAAATTTTTAATAATAATATTGCCTATTAAGCAGGATATTATAGGACAGAAATTTCTGTTAGGTAAAAAATAAATTAATGGGACCAGGGGTTTAGCTCAACAGCGTTAAGTACCTGCTTGGCAAACACGAGGTTGTGAATTCGATTGGTACTAAAAAATAATGATAAATTAATGAAGTCATAACATAAAGGATTGAGACATTTTTAAACAGTTTTTTGTTTCATAGCGCATTTTTACTGTGTGGTGACAAGTATTATTTAAAAATAAAAATCTTTAACCTTTACACAAGTTAATCAACATGACTAATTGTCAGAGAAATACAAAACCACAATGAACTATGACTGCATGCCTGTTATAATGGCTATTACTGAAAAAACAAAGATAGTTATGGTGAGGATACAAAGACGAATATGTACTCTGTTGTTGGGAATGTGAAATGGTATAACCATGGCAGAAAACAACATGGAGTTTCAGTGAGACCATACTCATAAGTGAAATAAATCTAACTCACATTTGTAAATATCATATTGTTTCCCTAGTATAAGAAAAAAAAACTGAGTAATAAGATCCAAAATGTACAATAGATATTATAATAATGAAAGGGAAAGAAAGTGCTCAAAAGGAAAAACAGCTGGGGTAGGGAAAAGGAGAAAAGGAAGAAGGGAAAAGATTGTACGTATATAGGTATGCGTGTGTGTGTGTGTGTGTGTGTGTGTGTGTACAAAATAGATAACTATACTACTAATCTCTTTATAAAAAGAACAATTTGTGCTTTTATTGTTTGATTCAGCACCTTTTTTGTGCCTAAATCTTGTAACCTGACCAACTACTTCTAAAATAACAATATGCAATATATTAACTATTGTTAATTTCCTACTTTTTTTTCTTTTTTTGGAAATTCTGTATCATGTCCATCCTGTGTTTGTTTGGCTTTTTAAAATTAAAGAAAGAAAATAAAAATTTGAAACCTGAAAAAATGTAAATTAATGTGTTACCACCATATGATCCACAAATTCCACTTTTGGGTATATATCCAAAAGAATTGATATCAAGATCTCTGGAATGGATGCCTGTGGTCCCTCCTTGTCTGCACAGGGTTTAATCCAAGACTTACAGTGCATGCTGGAAACTGCACACAGTACCAAATCCTGTCTATACTATTTTTCCCCACATGCTCTATAGTGTTGCTACATAATACCAGAATTAATCCTCCCATGGTTTATGCCCTTGCACCCTCTTTACATCACTACTTTTTTTCCCTTTGTGGCCATAATTAAGTAAAATAATAATTACTTGAACCCAAGCACTCCTGTGCTATGCCAGCCAATTCGATAACCACAGAAGCCACCAAATGATTAGCAGTTGAATCATATATACATCATGGATACAGTGGATGAAGGGCTGCTTCCTGTCCTGAGTAAGATGGAGTCAAATGGTCTGATATTTCATCATACTACTCCTTGTGGCACACAGCTGAAAACTTTAGAACTGTATATTGTTTGTTTTACACTTTATATTTTTGAACCACAGTCGACTGCAGGTAACTGAAACCACAGAGAGCAGAATCACAAGCAAAGGAAATATTGTGCTCTCATATTCATTTCATGGTTATTTACAATAACATGATATGGAAACTAGATATGGGAACAACCCTAAGGTCCACAACAGAGACATAGATAAAAGAAACAGTATTACAAAAAGGCAAGGGACCATTTTTGAGCCTTGAAAAAGAAGACAGTCGTGTCATATGCTACAATATGGTTGTGCCTGGAAGACACTGTTCCAAATAAATCAATCAAAGAAGGATAAATACTGTGCTATGCCACTTAATGTATCTGAAATAAACTTATCAAAAAAGAAAACAGGCCAGTGGCTGCCAGGGAATATGGAAAGGATAGAGGGAGAGAAGAATGGGGAGTTCTTATTCAATGAGTGTAAAATTACCACCTTAATAAGTTATAGGCATCTTCTGTATAACATAGTACCTGAAGTTAGTATGGTGTTGTGCACTTAAAAATTTAAGAGGATACATCTTTTAAGTGTTCTAACCACAAACAGACAAAAATCAAGCAAATGGCACAAAGAAGCTTTTGGAAGTGATAAATAAATTTATTACTTTGATAATGGTATCATGAATATATATATATACATATGCCCAAACTTATAGAATTTTATACACATGCTCAATATGGCAGCTTTTTTGATTTATCACTTATACTTCATTAAAAAATTATTTTTAAAGATTAATAATAGAACATTACTTTTCAAATATCTGAAATTTTCCTTCTAAAAGGCAATGTAAATATTCTTTAATCCCTCACCCATCCTGTTACTTCCTCTTAAGATAAATACTGAAGGTTAGAAAGTGATTCTTTTAAAGGTAAATAAGTTTATGTGTGGGGAGAGAAGTTGAACTAAACCCTGGCTTTGTGATTCCTATATTGGTATCCTTGCTACTACTTGTGTTCTTTCTTATCATAATCTAGTATTAAGATTTGTAAAGCCTGGGATATAATAGGCATTCAATAATACGTATTAAATAGATCAAGTAGTATAGCATTCATGCAGTTTTTTTCCTTCTCTTTCTCGTTTCTTTTTCTTGCATGCCTGGCAAATGTTAGGTATTTATTTCTCTTTGGTACTTTTTTATTGTCTATTTTATTACACATAGATTAGCATACATAGATGTCCCCTCCCCTTTTCAGACATCTCATAGACACAATTTTCTAACACCAAAACTGAGTCACATTGATTATTAGTATATCTTTCCAAGTTGGAAAAAAAAAAAAAAAGATTAACACTGCTTCCTTGATGTATAGACATGAAGTTCATTGTCATTGATGCTACCATTTTTCTTCTCCAGGAATAAGAGCCCTCAGTTTCTTTGACTATTTCTTAAATGACAAACTCTTCCCTTAGTTAGCCAGTTTCCTCCTAATGGAACAATAGTCTTTATGATTTGACTAGTTCATCTTAGAGAAAAATGATTGTCAGACTTTACTCTGTAATATTTTTTCCTAATATAAGTCTGAATTACCTTTTTGACATTTTTATCACACTGTCCTTCTGTTCAGATTATAACTGTAGTCAGCAATTACAACCAAAAGAGGTATCTTTTCATATGCTGCTTTAAAATCACAATTCTAACATCTGATTCTTTGTTAATGCATTTTCAAAATTAACTGTGAGATTTTACATTTACCACCGTAAAATTTTATCGAACAGATTTGATTCATGTTTTGTTTTCAGCTTGCAAAATAGCACAATATGTCAAGTCATAATAGTAGAAAAATAAATTCACCCCCACTCCTGACCTGACACAAATGTTAGAGTTAAGAGACAAGATCTATAAAAGTTATTAAAACTGAATTTAGTATGCTCAGAATTAAATAGAGACAGGAAGCATTTAACTTCCAGAGATGAAAACTGCATTGTGTGAAATGAAAATTACACTTCATAGGATTAATAGCAAAGTAGGCATTACAAAGCTAATTAGGCATTACAAAACAAACGCAAAGAACTTGAAGACATAGCAATAATAGCTATTAGAAATAAGCACAATAAGAAAAGACGTGAAAAATAATAAATGACCTAATGTACAATCAATTGAAGTAATAGAAGGCAGAGTAGGGGACAAGGAAAATATTTGGAGGAAATAGAACCAAAAATTTTCCCAACTTGACGAGACTTATAAAACTACAGATTCAAAAGTTCAACCAATCCTATGCACAAGAAATACAAAAAGTAATGCAGGTATGATGATGTACACCTATATTCCCAGCACTTAGGAGGCTGAGGCAGGTGGATCCCAAGTTCAAGGCCAGTTTGGGCTACATAGTTCAGGTCAACTGAACTATATAAGATCAGGTACCAGAGAAAAATAGCTCCTCATATGACCTTTATTTACCATTGCACTTTAGATTCTAGCCAATATAGTTAGGCAAGGTTGTGAGGGCATCTAGACTGAGCAGAAAAGTAAAAACTATATTTATTCAGGGACACCATGACTATATAGCAAATCTAATAGAACCTACAAAGAAGCAATTAGAACTAGTAAGCCTCAAAAATTTTAAATATCTAGAGATAAGTTAGATATGAAAGCTTTGCATGCCGAAAAGTATAAAAACATTGCTGAAGAAATTTACAAAGACCTTAGTAGACACAAGATGATCTTATTATTTGGAGGATTCAAAATTATTAATCTTTAAAATGATTTTTATACAGAGGTTGATTAAGGTCCTAAACAAAATCCATGCTAGCTTTTTTTTTTAATTGAAATTTGACAAATTTGCTCTAAAATGCATTTGGAAATTCAGAGGAGCTAGAAATAAAAACCGGTATTCTTAATTACAATAGCCCCAAACTGGAAGTAACAATGTTTTTCAAACAAACTATGATTATATCAAAACCCTATTCATTCTGTTACATAACAAAATACTGCTTAATGTAAAATGAATAAACTGTAATATTAGAACCTGTATGAATCACACATGCATTATGACAAATTAAGGAAATGAGTCTCAAAAGACTACATATTGTACGTTTCTGAAAAAGGCAAGTCTATAACAAAGAACAACAGAAGAGTGGTTGCCAAGGCTTGAGAATTAGGGAAAGAACTGATAATAAAGGGCTTGAGAAAATTTGGGGAAGGTCCAAATACTTGTTACTGTAGTTATAAGACTATATATACATCTGTCACCAAGAATAGAACTTTACACCAAAACTTGTAGAACATATAGTATACTGTTCAGAAAGTGAAAAATTGTTTAAAAAAAATGTCATGAGATGGACGCTTGAGGCTTCTATATACTATTGACTTTATATGTATATGTTTGAAATTTTCTGTTATAAATTTTAAAAGGAAAAGTAAAGATGTCATGATTCATACAAATCTGAATACTGCTTGCTCAACAATAAAGGACAGGAGGATGAAGTAGAAACAGAAAATCAAGAGAAGCCTAGTCAAATGAATACCCTGAAAGTAAACTCTTGGAGTCAGGGAGCCAGGAATGTGAGATAGGGGACAGGTGGGAATGAACTGTTGGCAGTGAAAAAGAGCATATGTGAGATAGGATAAGATCATCGCTAACTTTGTAAACATTCTTGGAATAATAAATATAAAAGCAGGTAAGAGGTTAAGAGAGAAACAGTGATATTGAACAGAGACAGAATAGGCTGCTCATTTAGAAACCAATCAATCATTGAAGGAGGTCTGATAGATAAATAGAAGGTAGAAACTAGTTCACTGAAAAGAGAAAATCACATGCTTTGGAGTGTTCAAATCTTTTGCAGTTTAAATTCAGTTGGCTCTGTTTCCTGTGCATGTTGCTATGACCAGTACTTAATTTTGAAACTAAGGGAAGATGAGTCTTTAGTGGACAACGTTTACAATTAAAGTGCTGTTTTCCATTGTACAAGATGAAGTCATCCTACCTCTTTACTGCTACTATTATCCCTGTACGATTTTTCCTACATTATTGAGCTTTTTTAAGCACTCTTTAGAAGAAAAAGTTTAGACATCTTCCATAAAAAGTTTTAGAAGCTACAGTATGAAAGTATTGTTCCCATATATTTAAAGTCAGAGAACATAGTAAAATAGACAAGCTTCTATGTGTAGAGCTAAAATAACTATTGGAAGAAATATAGTGATAACATTAAGGTATGACATTATCACTGCCAATCAAAAATCTGATGGCAAAGATGAGACTGAGGAAGTCATGGAAAAGTTACTTTAAAATCTAGCCCAACAATAACACTGAAGGGGTACTCTGCAAATTTCATGAAAATTAAAAATGAATAAACTTTAAGGGGTTTTAAATTAATTTTAAAATACCCAAGTCAATACTCTCAAAATTTATAAACAAACACTAATTTCAATACGAAAATAATTTAGTTATAAGTATCAAATCAACTTATCAGTTGCTTATAAAAGGATCTTATAACTTGGCTTTACTTTTTTACTCACATTTAGAGAAAATTTTAAAACAATGCATCAGATATGAAAATAATAGCAAGCGTCATTTCATTTCTAGGTCAACATTACATTTACTGAATTTGGGAAAATGCAAGATATTTGTAACTTTCTTGTTGAAAAATTAGATAGCTCTGTTGTCATCAGCCCACCCGAGTTCTATCATACTCCAGGTTCCATTGAAAATCTTCGGTAAGTTAAGCACATCTTTAACTAAATTATTAATTTCTTAAACAAAACTATTCCATGCTGCTGTTCATTGGATGTCATTAATTATCTCTACCTTTAATTCCTTAGAAAGCAGGCCTGCCTTGTGGCTGTTGAGAATGCATGGCGCAAAGCTCAAGAAGTCTGTAACCTTGTTGGCCAAACCCTCGGAAAGCCTTTATTAATCAAAGAAGAAGAAACAAAAGACTGGGAAGGCCAAACAGATGATCACCAGTCATACAAACTCTTGGATTCACGAACTATACCAGAAAAAATCAAAAGTACAACAATACATGCTGCTTCAAAAGTATTTATAACTTTTGAGGTAAAGGGGAAAGAAAAGAAAAAAAAGTATCTCTGAAATTCCAGCCAAAATATGTTGTATTTGTGCCTTTGTATCTACTTTTATACTTTACATAATGCTTCCTTCTGTCCTGAAGGAACAGAGAATAATCCCTGAAAAATCTGTCGTCTCTTAAATATAGTCGTATAGAATTCTATGTTCACTTCATTTCTATATTCAGAATCTTACTCTTAAAAACCCTTTTAGGAAATAAATACATTATGTACACACTTTGCCTACTAGCATTTCATACAAGTGTGTTATATTTTCACTATGAAATATGAACCTTTTTGTACTAAATAAGAGGAATTCTTATATACCATCAAACCTAGTAATTTTCTGTAATTCATTTAAGTGAATGATTTTACGTATATCCTGTCAGGTCTAAGATTGTATTTTACCCTACTTACAAACTAATAAATTAATCTTTCATGGAGGCTAGCAAAACTCAGAAACTCTGAGACAGACACAAAGCACTGTTATTCATAGCATAGCAAAGAGTATGGGTGTCAGCCAATTGTCCTTGGTTTCCCTTGTCTCGAGTTCCAAGATGGCAATACAATATGGCCATGCACAGTGTGGCTATACATACAGGGAGTTTTCATTGTAACTAATGACTACTGAGCTGTAAACATTCATTGAGTTTTCCTTTTTCCAGTACTGAGTCTTGAACCTAGGACTTTCGTACTAAGCCACATCCCCAGCCGTTTTATTTTTTGAGACAGGGTCTTACTAAATCCCTCAGTTACCAGGCTGGGCTCATACTTGTGAATCTCTTGTCTCAACCTGTCAAAGTAAGAATGATTACTTTTTATTATAAACAGAAGCTGTTATGGTTTGCATCCAGATGTCACCCCAGAGGCTCTGGCAGTCAGGAGGTGGTTGAATCTAGAATGTGTGGTTGATTCCTAAGGCAATGCTTAGATTAAGGATGCTTGGGTTAAGGGTGGGGGATTGCTAGATCAGCCCACTGATTGAATTGGTACATCCTAACCCTGATAGACTGGACAGCATATGAGGGACAGAAAGAGGCTCCTTTCTCTCCTTTTTGTTGCTTTTGCTGTCTTCTGTTGCCATGAACTCTTTCCTCTCTGCCATACCACCCTGCCTTGGAACCAGCTGATTATGGACTGAAAGTTCTACAAACTGAGCTAAATACACTTTTTCCCCCTCTGACTTTGAGTGTTGGGTATTTTGTCTCAGCAATGAGCGAAATGTAAGGCAAAATTAAACCCTCTCTTTGTCCTGAAAGAGTACTGCCTCATCCTTCAAAGATGTTCACTACAAACTCATTCTTGCAAAGTGGCCCAGTTAAAGAGTAGTCATTTTTGCATATTTCCACACCTATCAAGAAGGGTTGGAAGATGAAAGGCATAGAGGACTATCTCTCCCAACAGATCCAGAAGTTTCCTGTGTCCAGGACCATTCTTTTTTAAGACGCAGACTAACAACTCTAGCTGTTAACAACTTTACAACATAAATAAAAAGAATGATAAACAATGCATAGCTTTGAATAAAAGGGCAATGAGATATACTAGGAAAACATTTTGATGCTGAAAATAAAGACATAATATAGGGACCAAACTGTCTTCTACAGGACTTGTCAAACTGAACAAGCACTACGCAGTATAAATACAATTCAAGTCACTTACATAATGTGAAATTTCCTAATACGTTTGCGAAAGTAAAGCAAAAAACAGTAGAAACTAATTTTAATAACATGTAACTGATTATATTCAAAATATTCCAGGATATAATATTTTTAAATCATTAATGACATATTCTTTTTTGTGTTTAGTCTTTTAAAATCCAGTATATATTTTACATTATAGGGCATCTCTCTTCAAATTTGAAATTTTCATCAGAAGCTCCTGATCAGTAGCTCATGAAGCTAATTCTTTCCAAAATTCTGGTTGCAAACCAAATTGGATAAGAACCAAATCAAATTCAATGGTTAGGTTCAGTGTTGAACTCACGGAGAAATTTGATTGGGTAGTTGTTCATTTTGGTTTGCTGAGAAAGAATTAAGTTCATGAATCAAGGAACCACTGTATTTAAATCCCTGGAAGGAACAGTCATATACCCAAAACATCCATATACCCAAATTGTTCTAAAAATGCTCAAAAGACCCAGAAAATGCATCATGTATCAGTTTTAAATTAATTTAAGATAGCTTTTTACTGATAATTACAGTACACACTGCCATATTTCAAGCTCTTGAAAGCCATGATTACCTTTTGTTCAGTGCATGATCACACACTGAGATAACGATCCTTAAGAATGGTTGAAATTGAACAAGTATGTGTCATTGCTATTATATTATGTATTACACACAAATGATCATAAGCCAAGTCTGCTATGCAACACAGGCTTTGCATTCTCCATACATATAGGACAAGGTTTTTCCTTTGGTAAATCTTGACAGTCATATTCTACCCTTTCTTTGCAATGTGTGATTTTTATTCCTGTCAATTTTTTAAGGTAACCCCAAAACGTATTTTGCTCCCCTCTCTTGGAGTGTCTTTGGAGAAGGACGTGTGGAAGCCGAGAAGGAAAGTTTGATTCTAGCATCACTGTGTTCAAGTCCCAACCTCACTGTTGGAATGGAAGCTGCCTGAGAGACCCCTCCCCCAACCCATCCCCAATGTCAGGGCTGACACCAAGTGTCCCATGTTCTGCAAAAATTTAATCATGTAGATAGATTTTTCTTAGCCTTGACTTCATAATGTATTTGGTTCCATCATACTTGACAGAAGGCTTTCAATCTAATATGAAATACTTAGAGACAAAAAAAAGTTAACAAGCACTTTTTAAATTTTGTGAAAATTTTTAAGCATGTTTCTTTACTTTAAAATCCTGAAACATGTACAGTCCTATACTTGTATAGACTAGCAAAGGGAAGAAATTCTTCAGAAATTGAGCTGATTTATCTGTGATATCCTATATCTCTAAGATCAAAGTTACCAAGTTTAGTTGTCAGTTGATGGCAGTTTAATTTTTGACACATAGCATCCATTGCAATCTTACAATTCGTTAGGGAGCATTCCTCAAAAGACTGCTATAATAAGCCTTTTCTAAACTTAATCCCGACAGAATTTCTTATGAGCCTCCTTTTAAAAAAAATTCCCCAAAATAAAATTATAATTGCTATTTTCGGACATCTTTTTCCATAAAAAACTTGTTTATACTATCACTCATATTAAAGTCCAATAAGATACAACAGGATAGAACCAATGGAAACAGAAGAACAAAAGCATGGTAGAACTTCAAAGCAAGATGATATTAAATCAGCAATGACTATCATAATGTCTTGTTTTCTTCAAAATTGCAAAATAATAAAACCATTCCAACCAGTGAATGCAATCATTATAAGGCTTCAAAGCAATGTAATGGGAGATCATCATTACCATAAAATCTTATGTACTCTTACCATTTCTTACACTAGGGAGACTATACAGTATTTATACATGTGAGTTTGATTTATTTCACTTATGCATATGGTCTCAAGTTGTGCCCATTTATTCATAAATATCTCAATGTGATCATTCTTTATAGCTGAGTAGTACTGCATTGTATAAAAATACCACATCTTTTTTATCCATTCCTCAGTTGATGGACATTTGGGTTGTTTCCAAGATCTATTACAAATAGTGCTGCTATAAACATGGCTGCACATATATCACTGTAGTACGATGTTTTCAGTTCTTCTGGGAATATGCCAAGAAGTGGGACAGCTGGGTCAAATAGGACTTCCAATCCTAGATTTTTGAGGAATCTCCACACTGACCTCCAAATTGGTTGCACCAGTCTACACTCCCACCAACAGTGTAGGAGAGTTCCTTTTCCCCCAAGCCTCCCCCCACATTTGTTGTTGGTAGTTTTCTTGACCCTGGCCATTCTTTCTGGAGGGAGATGGAATCTCAGTGTGTTTTTAATTTGCATTTCTCTAATGAGTAATGATGATGAACATCTTTTCATGTGTTCATTTGCCATTTGTATTTCTTCATCTGAGAACTGTGTATGCATCTCAGATGCCCGTTTTTGGATTGGGTCTTTGAATTTTGGAGGTCTGATTTTTTTTTTAATTCTTTACATGTTTTAGACAGAGGTCCTTTGTCTGAGGGACAGTTCACTAAGATTTTTTTCCCAGTTTGTGAGTTTTCTTTTCACTATACTGGAGATTTCTTTTGACATGAAGAAACTTTTTAATAACATGTGATCCTAGCTATTGATTCTGGGAAGTAGTTCCCATGCAGTTTGATTCCTGTTCATGAATTCCCTACCTACCCCATGTCTTCAAAATTTTAACCTAATTTGTCTTCCAACAGATTTAATGTTTCTGTTTTAATATTCAGATCTTTGATCCATTTAGATTTTAGTTTAGTACATGGTGATAGGCATGGGTCTAGTTTTAGTGTTTGGCATATGGAGAGCCAGTTTTTCCAGCACCATTTATTAAAGAGACTGTCATTCTTCCAGTAAACATGTTTGGCCCCTTTATCCAAGTTAAGGTGGTTGAGTGTGTTTGTAGTTGTGGTTATATCTTCTAATCTTTTCCATTGATCTTCAGATCTGTTTTTGTTCCAGTACCATGTTGATTTTATTAAAGTAGCTTTGTAGTATAACTTCAAGTCAGAGATTGTAATACCTTCTGCCTTGACTTTGCTGCTTAGAATTGCCTTTGCTATTTTGTCTCTTCTGATTCCAGATGAATTTTATGAGTGATTTCTCTAGATCTAGGAGTTATGTTGATGGTATTTTCATTGGGATTGCATTGAATCTGTATAAGAGTTTTGGGAGAATGGTCATTTTCACAATATTTATTCTTCTTATCCATGAACAACTGATGTCTTTCCATTTTCTGAGATCTCTTTGATTTCCTTTTTCAGGGTATTATAATTTTCCCTGATAAGATCTTTTACTTCTTTCGTGAGATTAATTCCTAAGTATTTCATTTTTTTGGATGCTATTGTGAAGGGTGTATCTTCTCTTGTTTCTCTGTCAGTGACTTTGTTGTAGGTGTATAGGAATGCTATTGATTTTTCAGTATTGACTTTGTATCCAGCTACATTGCTGAAATTGTTTATTATATCTAGGAGTCTTTCAATGGAGTTTTGGTGGTCTTCTATTTAGAGTATCATGTCATCTGCAAATAATAATAATTTAACTTCCTCTTTTAATATCTTTATCCCTTTTATTTCTCTCTGTTGCCTAAATCCTCTGGATAGTATTTCAGTACTGTGTTGAATAGGAGCAGTGATAAGGGACATCCTTGTCTTGTGCCTGATTTTAAGGCACAAGAGTGCCTTTCAGTTTTTGGCCATTTAATATGATGCTGGCTGTTGGTTTGTCATAAATGGGCTTTATCATATTGAGGTAAAGACCATCTATTCCAATGTTCTTTAAATTTCTTATCATGAATGAATGTTGGACCTTATCAAAAGTTTTTTCTGCATCTATAGAAATAATCATGTGATTATTATTTTTTGCTTTATTGATACGGTGGATTACATTTATTGATTTACATATGTTGAACCATCCCTGCATGCCTGGTATGAACCCCACTTGGTCGTGGTGTATAATCTTCTTGATGAGTTGCTGCATCCTATTTGCCAATATTTTATTGAGAATTTTGCATCTGTGTTCATTAGGGAGATTGGTCTGTAGTTCTCCTTTTTAGGTGGGTTTTTCTCAGGTTTTGTTACTAGAGTAATATTTGCTTCCAGGAATCACTTAGGAAGAATTGCTTCTCTTTTGATTTCATTGAAGAGTTTGAGGAGTGTCGGCATTAAGTCTTCTTTGTATTTCTTACAGAATCCCACAGTGAATCTGTCTGGGCTTGGGCTCTTCTTTGTAAGTTAAGGACTTAATTACGTTTTCAATTTCATTAATAGAAATTGGGTTATTCAGCAGTGTTGCATCTCCTTGACCCAGCTTTGGTACTTCATATGTTTTTAGGAATCTGTCCATTTCTTCTGTGTTATCGAACCTATGAGAGTAGAGGTTTTTGAAATAGGTGCTGATGATCTTCTGTATTTCCACAGAATCTGTAGTGATTTTTTTTCATTCCTTATTGCATGAATTTGAACTTTTTCTTTCTTTTTTGTTATAAGGTAGGCTAGGGGCTTATCAATTTTATTTATTCTTTCAAAGAACCAACTCTTTTTTTATTTAAA